CATACGGAGGCCACGAGCAGGTAGTCAAGATGCTGCTCGACAGCAACGCCGACATCAACGTGCAAGTTGGACTCTACGGCAACGCACTGCAAGCATTCTTGATTGATCGAGGTCTGACGGACGTTCTTTACAAAGTTTCAATTATAGAACAGTCCTGTCCAGACTCAACTTTTGCCACATCAGCCCAGTCGGTATCTTGACGGTGGCATTGCCTATAACTCTCGTCCTTAAAAGTGAAGCCTTCAAACGTATACCCCCACGGCCTATTCTTCCATCCTCCGCTCAGCACAACATCAACAAGCGGCGGGCGACCAGTCTGAAAGCTCGGTCCCCCGAAACATCTGAATATAAACTGCAGAGGGTTGCTGCTAGGAGATTCAGGTTCAGAAGGAATATAGGCCAAAGATTTTGAATCTGCGTAATTGGACCGTCAATCCCTCGGATGTCCTGCGGGCATAAATTTCTAATCTTTTTTTCTGGATCTCTCCAGTAACAATACTTTGTTTGTATCCCTTGCTCCCTACGAGAGAACAAGTAACAAAAGTCCTGTCCCAGAACCTCAGGTACATCTAGCCTGCTTACGGCAAGGGTGAGCTGCTCAAGCTGATACTCAAGCTGATGTTCTTCCAAGCCAAGGGAACTCCCCCGTAGGCTTGAGCGAAGGAGGTCATCTTCGTACTGGAGGTCGCCGTGGCGGTCAAAAGCAGCAAGCATAAGGTGAGGTCGTGCTCCGTTCGTCGTACTGCCGCTCAGGATATCTAGATCAGCGCCAATCAAAACTATGTCTGTGTCTTTCGCGCTGTCGCTCTTTAGCCAGTCTTCGTCCTTGAATATAGCATTCCACACGCTGTCGTAAGCTCTGGACGAGCTAAGCATGCTGGAAAGGATAGCGCACAGTCCTTTAGAGGGCAATGATACAGCCAGTACTTGTATCAGGAGAGCTGCGTGCGTATCGTGACGATAGATCCTTGGGTTATCTTGAGGGGCCAGCACGACAAATCAGTATAGGAAGTGAGATTTGAGAAAGCTGGGGTGAGGGGAAGTGCTCCACACGTTTTATCTTCTCTTGACATGACACGTGATGATCGGACATCGGGATCCGTGACTACTATAATTAGCCAGTCCAATACAAGCCGGCTTCGAATCGCTTGGATCCCGCGCCACTAGTGTATGCAACGGGGTGCAAATTTGTGTCCTCTGTTATCTGTTTTGAGCGTTACAAAACACCGGATACAGTAGAATTAAGGACTTTTGTGGTGAGCGACCAGGAGACAGCAAGGCTTCCCGTTCGCTCAGCCCTATTTAAGCAACGTACCGGCGGATTAGTAGTTAGGTGGGTGACCACTAGCGAATACCCGCTGTTGTATGTTTTTGCTATTCTTTTGTTTTTATGTTGCCTGTATCGTAGGAGGCCCGGATTGGGTCCAGTCAGAATGCTTCTCGCCCTCACCATCCCTTGTGTTTTCATAGCAGTCAACCTCCTGTAACTAAACCTCGCATTACCAGAGGATAGTCTCAGACCCACATAGGACGTTAAACCAATAGTCCTTGCTCGCACACATGATGTTATCATTGGTACTGTTGCATCCCCTCAAGTCAGGGAAACAACGCTATGCAATCCAGTTACAGTTAAGGTCCAAGTTCACAAAGCCACACACAAACAAGGACGAACTCATCGATCAGACTATCGACCTTGCTGCACGTTTGCTGTTCATAATCGATTTTGGCGATCTACTATACGGGTTCTCGGGAAATGAACGACTACAATGGGAGACTGGTCCTATAGAGGAGTGTGTGGCGTCGCACTTCGGGCAATTACCATCACTAGGACATGAAGGTGTCAAGTTCGGAAGACCGTTCAATGCCAGCTCCTTGGTACGTGTTGCTGGGCTTGAGCTCGTTCCAACCAGCAATCTCCTGGATCATCTCAGATTGATCGATGATGACACGAAGCTCAACATCTTCTTTCGCGTATCTTTTTGAAGCTTCAGACACAATAGTATGTGTGCCTTGGTCTAGCTTGCGTTACATCAGTACTGAATAGGATAGCTCACTTCTGCCTCAGAGCTTGGTCGAGGAGACTTTACGAACGCTTGCGCTTCTCTTTCCACAATCCGATCCTACGCTGAGAAGGTGGTACCGTTGGTTACCTGCGCCGTTTGCTCTTGAACCTCAGCTTACGCACTGTGGAACCTCAAGACAAGCGACAGACAAGTCGAAAAGTTCTCCCACTGACACGACTGTCTAGTCCTACTCAAGCAAGTATTTGTCAAGGCGACACCACGGACGCTTTCGCAATGTGCATTTAATCCGATTGATGGAGCGTAGACGGCTGCTATTCATGTTATCCTTCGTCCGTATATCATTTATATCAAGCAAGAATATAGGAGAATCGAAAATGGCCCCAAGATGTGAAGGAACACAAGCAAAGCTTACTGACTGCGATATCGGAGTGGTTACATCCGCGGACACCATTGATGATATTGCCAAGTACGGCGCAATCAATACAAGCAGGCACGTTTGATACGCGTTGACGTGCACTGCTTGTGCTTGGAGCTTAACCGAACAGCACGCAATCGCACCCCCACATGTCGCAGACGTTTACACCAGTTCATTGTTGAAACTCCCAGCGAGCCATTGCCCACAGTCTTGTAGATAGACATGTTGACATGACCAACAATAGCCATTAGCAAAGCTTGGTAACACTATTTAGCCTGCACGTCAGGTTAGAACCCTGCGATGTTGCGACATTGTCCCATCGGCATCAGGCAAACTGTTGGTAACCCGTTGGCTGTGCATGGAGCTCTTAAGTATCAAAAGCTGTCCATCTTGAGTGGTCCTTGATAAAATCTACCTACTTATTTCCGAATTAATCGATCATGGTTACCGAAACCGTCACACTCAACACTAAGAGCATTGATGCGCCAGCACAGTCCCAATATCCACGCAAAACCCTAAAGCTGAAAGGCGTGCTCGACCAGTACGAATCGTTCGATATGACTCCAGTAATCGGTCGCGAGTTTGTCGATGTCAACTTGGAAGAGTGGCTTGAAGCATCTAATTCTGATGAGTTGGTTCGAGATCCTGCCATCACCAGTACGTCTGGTCCGGGTCTACTGTCCAAGTCAATCTCCAGCCATTGATGTAGTTTCACAGCGTAGTGTATTCTTCTTCCGCAAGCAAGACGATCTCAACAACGACCTCCAGAAGCAACTTGCACAAAGTTTGGGTGAGCTCTCAGGCAAGCCAGAGATATAAAAGCTACACATTCACCCCGTCATCAATGCCGGCCGTCGCCTGGGTGGTGGTGACAACGAGATCAGTGCCATCAGCTCCGAACAAGTCAAAGAAATTTACAAGAACAAGTTTTTGAACTTCGCAGACCGTGAGCAGACCGCGAGCAGACCGCGAGGCGAAGCTGATACAGCGACATCACCTTCGAGAAGATTCCCAGTGACTACGCGCTGCTGTGATTGACTGAATTGCTCAAGACTGGTGGAGGTGAGTCTGATCCGCTCGGTTCCTATATCACTGGCTAACGTAGTCGGTAGACACACTCTGGGCCTCAGGATATGACTTGTACGACCGCCTCTCGCCACCTTACCAGAAGTTCTTCGAGGGCCTCACTGCCACATATGCGCAACCTGGGTTCAACCTCGCCGTGAAAGAGAACGGGATCGATCTGTACAACAAGCCTAGAGGTGCCCCTGAGAACGTGGGAACTGAGTGGATTGCCGAGCACCCTGCCATCCGAACGAACCCCGTGACAAGCTGGAAGTCAATTTTCGCTGTTGGTCACCACGTTCAGCAGATCAAGGGCCTCACCAAGGAAGAGAGCCAACATGCGCTGGACTTGTTCGTGCAGTTAATTGTTGAGAACCATGACTGCATGTCCGCCAGAGGTGGCAGAACGCGAACGATCTTGCTATATGGGACAACAGGAGTGTGCATCATACCGCGACTGTCGACTACAAGGGACTGGGTCTAAGGACTGAACAGTGAGCTTGGGCGAGAAGCCGTACCTCGATCCGAACAGCAAGTCTTCTCGCGAGGATCTGGGTCTCAATGATGAGGAGAAGTCGTAGACCGGAATAAAGGCTCACAACATCGTATGTAGATGCGAATTTGCGTATGCGTAACAATGCCACTGTTGATATGTTCTATTGTGATGTCGGCGATGAGAAGAACGCGTCGCGTCTTAGGACGCGCTCCTAGCAACTAGCGTCGGTTACGTCACAACATACAACCCTCTCCAGCACTGGTCACCCTCAATCTCCACAACTTCCATCGCCCGTTACCGGATCTCAAGAAGTATCGCACCATATATTGTACCATCCACTATGAACAGACTCCGTTCACGGCACGAGAGAAGCTCGCACGCGGTCATCGGCTTCGGAACGCTTGTGATTAGCTCCCGTTGACGACATCTGTACAATCTGCACGCCATCTATGCACGCAACAATAGCATGTTCTGGGCTCGTGGAAACAACGCCTTCAGCTTCTTGACTTCTTCCAGAATCTCGACGAGGCGACATCGCGGGCCATGCGTCTTGTTTCCAGAAGGCCAGGCCGTAGTGCCTGACGCAATTCTTCGAAGACTGACGTGCCTGCATGGGTGCATGTTCGTTATCACAGGTAGCTCTAACTCATGACCCAGTCGAACGCCTCATTCATCCCGCCTCAATTGGTCAAGGTTGACCAGCAAAGTCTGGAGAGGTTCACCTGTTAGTGCTGATCCTCCGCAAATCCAACGGTTTGAGCAAATCCTTTTCAGAACTGTACAGTCCACGCCAACATCATCTTGAGCCTCGTACTGATGTTTTATTGCCGGTTCAGGAGCTGACTCGGACCCGAGGAACTGGTCGTAGGTGAGCTTGCTACGAGGAATTGCGTACGTTCGTGCCAATACCACAATGAACGTGAGGATTTACATGCAGCCAAGCACGTTGCAGAATCTCTCTGGGATCCCCCACTCTTATCCTGATTACTCTGCGCCTCTCTCTTGCTAAATTTGTTGGTTACACCGAGCTTCCTCCAATCACAGTTGTGCAGTTTCTTATCGGGTACAAGACAAGTCAAAAGCGTGGCATTTAAGGCATGCTCTTGGCAGCACTCCTTTTCCTTTTCCGCAATGTTGTCAGTCGAGGGTACTGTTGCACCATCCTTGGCTGAGGAAATGCTTGAGAGCATTTCCGGTTGTTTATAAGGTGTCTGAGGCTGCCGGAGATGTACACCTCAGGACCCTAGTCACATGGCACGTTCGCGCTGCTGTTAGCAAAGTGTTACTTAACAACATCCTCATTTCGGTTTCGCGACGGCTATGGCTGCACCTCCAGTCGACCAGAAGCAGGTACCCGTTTCCCAGAACGCGGACTCGGGATCCTCCTTAATTTCGAAACAAGAGCGACCATCGTACGGCTCCTACGAAGATCACCCGTTTAGCGATCGTGTAATAGCGCAGTACTGGCGGGAAGTCTACGACAAGGCTGAATATGAGGGGCGCCATCGGTTCGACCCGGACTACACATGGACGGCGGAAGAAGAGAGAAAGCTTGTCCGCAAGGTAATCGCGCAGTCTCTGAAAAAAGAAGCAAGACCTGACGACATCGACAGCTTGACTTTAGAATCACATTGTGGGCATGGATGATGTTCGTGTCGCTGGATCTGAACCGCAAGAATATCAATCGAGCGATTTCCGACAACATGCTCAAGGATCTTGGTGAGCAATTTCGATCGTCTCTGTGACCGACCGGGCTAACGAGTCAGGCATGGACACCAATGACTTCAACTACGGACAAACCGTGCATTACCCCAGACCCCAGACCGAACCTTGACTAATCTAGGCTTAGATCTTCCTTGCCACGTTCCTATTTGCCGAACTACCTAGCGCGCTGATCAGCAAGAAGCTTGGAGCCCCCAGGTACGCCCTCTGACAAAAGGAACCAGTCAGAATGGGGAACAGTGTCGCTAATCGGAGTATTGCAGATGGATTCCGACTATCATTTGCGCATGGTCAATTGTCAGTGCCTCTCAATGCGCTCTTACGAGCAAACCACAGTACTTCGCCATTCGTGCACTTCTGGGCCTTTTGATGGGAGGTTTCATTCCGTAAGTGGCTCCCTGTTTGCATGACGAGACGTAACTGACGGATCCCCAGCGACATTGTCCTGTGGCTTACATACTTCTTTAAATCCAATGAGCTTCCAACCCGTCTGGCGTGGTTCTGGACAGCATTGAGCTTCTGTAACATCGTCGGATCGCTATTAGCTGCTGGTATCCTGCAAATGCGAGGCCTCCATGGCTGGGGCGGCTGGCAATACCTGTGGGTGTGATACAATGGCGACACATGGCTCATACTAATAACTTCCAGATTCTTGATCGAGGGTACCTTGACCTTCTTTATCGGCGTCTTTTCGTACGTGCTGATGCCAGCTGGAGCTACTGAGACTGCAAACTGGTTCCGCGGGAAGTACGGATGGTTTTCAGAGCACGAGGAATGCATCCTTGTCAACCGCATCCTGCGCGACGACCCATCGAAGGGAGACATGAACAACAGGGCCGGTGTGAGCCTAAGGCTCTTGTGGAAGACCATCACCGATTGGGAGCAGTGGCCGCTCTACCTCATCGGCCTCATGGCGTACATTCCACCCTCGCCTCCAAATACTTACCTCTCCTACATCCTGCGTCAATTGGGATTCAGCACTTTCCAGGCCAACATGCTGTTGATCCCATCGCAACTCCTCTTCGCTGTTCAGCTACTCATCCTGACATGGGTATCGAAGAAGCTCAAGGAGCGGGCTATCGTATCGAGTTTGAGCAATTTCTGGATCTTCCCCTGGCTGGTAGCCCTGGTTACTCTTCCCGCCGGCGCCAATCCCTGGGTGCGCTACGCCCTCCTCAGCGGCCTGGTCTCGTACCCCTACTGCCACGCGATCTTGGTCGGCTGGAACGCTGCGAACTCCAACTCGGTACGAACACGCGCCGTCTCCGCAGCGTTCTACAACATGTTCGTGCAATCTGGCAACATCATTGCATCGAATATCTATCGTAACGACGACCAGCCGCTGTACCGACGCGGTAACAAGATTCTGCTCGCTATCTGCAGCTTCAACATCGTACTTTTCTACTTTGTAAAGGCCTTCTACATCTGGCGCAACAAGGTCAGAGACAGGCATTGGAATGCGATGACTAAGGAGGATCAGGACAATTACATCGTGAGCACCAAAGACGAGGGTATGAAGAGGTTGGACTTCAGGTTCGTGCATTGAGCCGGCGCAGGAGAGCAGAGGTCACCGTACGGATGTGGCCCGACAAGAGGTGAGATCAACAAAAGCCATGCGTTAGATCGAGCGATTGAGCTATCAAGAAGCGTGGAGAACATCTTCCGCTGAATGCACTTGGGTGTCCCAAAACTCGAAGATCTCGGGGTGAGGCAGTTGCACATTCCCTCCGTGGAGCTATTCAGATTGCAACTGCCGGTCATCCGCGTCGGTGCGAGACGAGGCCTCCATTTCCCATCCGATCGCGACTACCTCCACCACGAACGATGACGCAGCCTTGTTTGCTTCGCTCTGTGTGCTCTTTCGCCTCGCCCATAGTCACCTCACTTCACGCCTCCCACCCCATTGTTCTGTACCATTACTTCCGCATCTCGCCACAGGCACTGTATACTCAACTAAGCAGCATCACTTAACATCACCAGCTACCATCGAGCCTTTGTTGTTGGTCGTCATGCTTCCCCTCGTCGCGGCTCTCGGTCTACTCACCTGCACGACCGTCGCGGCTCCTGCATTCAATGCAACGATTACGCCTCAGGACGCGGTAATTGATCTGCCGCCACTGGCAGTCGATGGTACGGCAGGATTTACAGCATTGCAGAAGGCCTCCAAGGACAATTACCGGTATCTCTACAGCTTCATCGCTACCGCACAGCAACATTGCAAGGGATCGGCGACAACCGCATCCCTTGCGTTCTCTCCATTGATTGACTGGCACAACAACATCGCCGGCCATGCCTTCCCCAACTACACCTCTTCTCTCGCTGATGATTCTGTGCGCATCGATGTTCTAGGATGGCAGCTCTGGGTCAGCCTTTCTAATGACACTCTGAAGCGTAAGTGCTCGACGGCACTATGCCAGCATCAGGGCTGACACTCACAGTTCAATATCGCGGTGTTCGTTGGAACAGCACCCAAGAATCGGTGGAGGCTGGCAGTGCGTTTACTTGCGTCCCCAGCAGGTGGTCTTTGGGCGATTTGAACTGCAGTTCGGGTGACCCTGGTTTTCGGGTAAGCACTCACGTCTTGGATGATTTTTGGCGGCGATTTGACTTTACTCTTCCAGATATTTACCACTGTCTGCGGGTTTTATCCGTCAAGATAGAGGCAGGTCGTAACGACACCATGCGCTCAATTGAATTGCAGTCTACGGAGGGAAACTCCACACAGACGTCCTCCAGCGTCCCCATGACTGTCGAGACAGTCCTTGCAAAAGATCGCCCGCCATTCTCGTACAACATGTGCTCGTTCAACACCCGTCTTTTCCAGGAGTGTGTCTACACACCAATGGAAGGGTGGCATGTTCAGGCGTTTTGCTTTTATAGACTCCATTTACGACAATCACTATAATCGCATCGATGGCCGAGTGAAGCGCTTGAAGCACATGAGTAGCGAACTTGGAGTCAGATACTTTCGCGACAACGTCTGGTTTGTCCATAACGGTAAGTGCGTATGGAACGGGCGATATAACCCATCTAATGAGCGGTATGGACGCTGCGAGTGGGGAGTTTGACCGGATCCCCCACTGGAGTGTAATGAGACAACAAGCGCGCACTACCGTGTAAGTGTCCATACCCCGACATGAACGCTAAGAGTGCTAACGATGCTCAGATTTCCAAGATCAAATGCCCTTTCTACTGCTGAACGTGCAGTATCCTGGGAAGATCTGGAAACCGCAGGGCGGCGTTCACAGGATTTTGCAGGACGCAAACTGGTGGGAGTGGCACGTGGCGCGCTGTAGGCGTCGTGAAGCTTTTGACGTTTTGTGGACACTGTTTTTTTTGTTGTTCGTTTCGCATTCTTCATCCCTAGAATACTCCAATGTTATTGAATCCCGTACAGACAAAATTTCTACTTATGCGTGCATCACTTCCAATGAACACAACAACATCTGGAGGACACAGCGAAAGCTGGTTGGGTATCGCAAGACTCCACCCAAAGATCAAAACATCAGATCTTATGACACGATCAGAAGCTAAGAGCATCCACTCTTGCTTCCCTTTGAGTTTTTCCCCCCCTCCATCTTCGCTCTCATGTAAAGCCTACGACGTACTCCCTGGCGGGCCTCCCATATTCAGCAAGATGTCGAGCATATCCATCCCACCGACATCAGGCCCCATAGCCGTCTGATTGATCTCCGCACCCCACTGATCCAACAGCGGATCCAGCGGCAACGCCAACCAGTCCTGATCGTTATTCGCACCGCCCCAACTCGCGCCGCTGTTCGCCCACTGCGACCACGTCCCATTCGCGTTACTGCCCCCACTCGTAGCATGATTCGCATTGTTATTGGCAGAACCGTTGGTACCGCCAGGCGTGTTAGGGTGCGGAAACGCGTTGAAACCAGGTGGTGGCATGATACTTATGCTGTTCGAATTGGGATCGTACGGCTCGGCGCTTATACCCCAGAGCGATTGCGATATGGGTGTTGCGCGGCCTGAGGGTGTGAGGCCGAGGGAGGGCGAGCCGGGGACGGAGGTTCCGGTCCCGTTGGAGGGGAATACGGCAGAGGAGGAGCCTAGGTATGATCCTGCTAGAGAGTTCAAGGCTGCGGGAGGCGGCATTAGAGGGGCTTGGACGGGCGAGCGACTCCCCGCGCGGCTGATTCCTGTGGACCCGTTGGCGGCGAGGCGCACGAACCGGGAGCGTATGCGGTGCGTGAGTGTCTCGACGAGATCCGCGAACCGGTTTCCGACGTGCACATCGTCGACGATACTCGTCCGTAGGGCGTCGACGGCACCGGATAGCAACGCGAGGGAGACGGCGACGTCTTCTTCCGTCGCGCCCAGCGCAAAGGTCTTTAGCAAAATGATGGCGACAGACACGATCCGGAAAAACGTCCGCACCGGCGCGTGCCGCAGGTAGTGGCCCGGGTACAATCCGTCGACGACCACTTTCAGCACGTTCCGCGAGGCGTCGATAACTTCGTTTATGTAGTGCCGGTCGTTTGCGTACCATTTTGTCAGCGTGGAGAAGGGGATTGCGCCGCCGTCTCCTGGTCCTAAGGTACCGTTTGTTGGGGTGCGTGTGGTGGAGAGGTTGGCGTGGGTTTGTAGGGGGGTGTTGTGCGTGCAGCGTTCTACGACGGCTTGGAGGGCCAGCGAGTTGAGGTAGACGCGGGTGTATTCAAATTCTATGATGAGGACGTGGCGGAGTTGGGTGGGTACTGGGAGCTGTCAGTACTCTCAATCTACTTGATGAGAAGAATTGGGGGAGGGATGGGGGGGATGAAGTACCTTGGGGAGCGCGGTCGAAGCAGTTCTTCCACTCGGTCAGTGGACCTTGGAAGAACTTGAGCATCTCCTCATACTGCCCGGACTTGAGCAATTCTCTCGTCTTTCGACGGTTGGAGAATAATTTCAAGTTGCCCATCTCCATCACCTTGGCTATGCGCGTCCAGAAGTCGAGTACCAGGTCCTGCACAGCGTGCCGTTCCTGGTGCGCGACAGACTCGAGCGGTAGTCGCTGACCATCCTGCGCAGCACTGGGACGTGTACCGAACTGCATGGGAGGCGCTTTAATGCCGCTCATGCGCTGCTGGTACAGCTCGTTCGGTGTCGGACCGCCGACAAAGTTCTCGTCGCGCTGATCGATCTTCGGTAGCATGGACGTCAACCCCAAACGACCACTAGTCTGCGTAACGTATATGATGAGGAGATTCTTGAGATGGTTCTTCCGTCGGAAGTACGCCTTCACGGTCGCATGTGAGAGGTGCTGGTTCGCCTGCTCGAACTCGGTCTCGCTCGTCTCATCGAATACACCGATCTCGAAGGCGAGTGTCATGGCGTTGCCGAGTAGCATCCAACACATGCGGTCACTACGCCAGCAGGGCTCAAGCCAGCTGTCGATGCGCTTGTCACCCACGCCCTTGTACATGTCGGCCTTGGGACCCTTCTCATGGTCCAGATCGTCCGGAAGAACAAGCTCGTCGTCGTCATCACCGGGTGGGAAGTGCAGAGCGCGCGGGTGCCATTCGGTCAGCAGCATCAAACTCTCGACTGTGCCGAGTGTGCGAAGTCCCTTCCGAGATAGTGGGTTCACGTCTGATCCGGGCTGCTGCCCTGCGCCGCAGAAACCGCCGCCGAATTGCTCTTGTCCGAAGATCATGCGGTCTATCATGCCCTGCAAGTGCTTCCATAGCTTCTCATGGATCAGATACGCGCGTGATGTTGCACCGGCGTTTGTTGTCCCGCTGGGCTGAGAGTAGCGCGAAGCAATGGTGAGGAGCGTGATGACGAGCATGGGCTCCTCTCTCAGTAGCTTCCCGTGGAAGGCGTGATCGCGGTAGTCCGGCACTACGATGGGCGTCAGAGGGGAGAGATAGGCGTAGAAATAGTCAATGTAAGCAATAGCTTCTTTCGCCGTCAGCCATCCTGCGCGCACGAAGCGGAACTTTGACCACGCTGTGATCGCATCACTGAAGGCTGCTTCGTTTGGCGGGTCTGGTAGCACGGGTGGTTGTGGCTGTGGTTGCGGCTGTGGCTGTGGCTGTGGCTGTGGCTGCGGCTGTAGCTGTGGCTGTTGAATAGCCGGGTCCACGGGATCAACGGCAGCACGCGAATTGCTCCTGATATGCGGTGCCGTCACCTGTGGGCTGCCAGCAAAGTTGGAACCCGGCGTGCTGCCCAGCGTCGGCCGCTGCATGCTCGAGGTGCTGCCGGTGCGATGGTGCATGTCCATGCCTCCGTTGCGGGCGGCCTCGAACAGCAGGTTCAGCGCATCGTGGCCGCTGTAGATCTCGCCCGTCTGCAGCGTGGCGACGGACTCGTTGTTGACCTGCATGTCCTCCTCGCTGTGCTCCACGGGGTGCATCGAGGCAGACGTCGTCGGCCGTCGCAGCGGTTCATAGCGGCCGACCGAGCCTCCCGGCGTCAGCGGCTGGGAGGCGTATGCGACGCCGTTGCTAATGAGGGGCTCATGGTGCTCGACGTCGCTCGGGCGCGATCGCTTCCGCGCGTTGCGGACCTCGTAGTCGTCCTGCTCATCCACCTCTTCCTCGCCGTCCAGCTTCCGCTTGCGGCGCGTGGCCGAGAAGAAGCACTCCTTGCTCTCGCGGCGGCATCGCACACACGGCGGGTCGTGCGGATTGTCGACAGGCCCCAGGTCGCAGCGCACTTTGCGGCGGCGACACGGTATGCAGGCCTGGTAGGTGCGTGTGTGTGACGACTGCGCTGGGCGCGGAGGAGATGCGTTGGAGCCAGACATACTATGTACTGGAGAGTTCGGGTATGTACGCTTTCCAGCGGGTGCAGGCCTCGAGCGACACCTTATATGGCGCTACAAATGCCCTGTACGTAAAACGGCCGGTCTGGGGTAGCCTTGGGGGGAAGGTCCTCGCATATAACCCCGCGTTCTTGGGACGAGCCGTCTCTCAGGTTCTCCTTCGCGCCTCTCTGGTCGATTTTGGCAGCGAGCTGGCCAAGCGCTGAGCCGCTGAGCCGCTTGATCACGAGCGGGGAGCTCGAGCTTACCACAGCCGTTTAGTGGGGCCTCTCCGATAACCTATCACCATTTCTTGCAGACGTGCGATCGCTACCCACGACACGCATTCGATTGCTAACCCACGACACGCCTTCTGAATATTGCAGAAGACCATCTCACAAAGTCGTCGTTCCAGCAAATCTCCTTTGCTACCGCCCTGGTCGTGGTGTTGCTCGGCAATACAGTGGCATAGGGCACGTGTACTCCGCACCATATGACCGTTTCGTGCAACCTGCATGTGGCACAGACAAACGTGGTTGATCGTCTGTGGAGACATTCCTGAGGTAAGGGCTTCAGTCAATGGTCATTGCCGTCAGGATGCCTCGGACCTGTCAAGAACGGTAGGTGTCGATTAGGCAGGAGGCTCTTCTCTGCTGCAATGCTTCAACGGTTTCTTGATATCTCCGATGTTCTTCTCTGGAAGGCAGCAAGACTTGCAGTGCAGGAAACAAAGATAGTTGGAAATATGATCTCTCGAATGCAGGACATGAGCGTCAACAATTTTGCGACGTCAGCCCCTTTCTCTCCCATTACATGTCAGTAATCACTGTCGCACTCCGTGTTTCTTCTTCGATCCCATTCTCCTCGAAGACTACGGCTCAAGTTGTTTGCAATCAGTCTCTCTGCACTTGCAACAATGGCTCTGGCCTCATCTTGAGCCTCCCGCGCTTTCTGCTTCTCCCTCTCGAGCTCCCTTCTCTCGCGTTCGAGTACGTCGATGTTGACTTCTTGACAGCTGCCTGGCCAAGTGAGTCCCCGGGTCTCATGTGGACGAGCGAGGCTGAGACCTAGCGTGTCTGGCGAATAACCATTGCCATACGCTGATGCCCTCAAACTCGTTAAGATTGCGTTCGATGCCGTAAGGCCGGGCACTCCGCCCCAGCTCTTAGCACAAAGCTCCTCCAAGGCTCTCCACATGTCACCTTCGAGTACCCCGTTCCCCTCAACAGCTTCGAGGAACCTCGCTCTGTATGGCCAACGGTCGCTCAGTAACTTGATCAAATTCGGTGGCTCCTTTGCACTTTCGGTGTTCAGACCCAGGTACTCGAAAGAAGCACTGGACGGCGTCTGGATTAAGAACTTCCTCGCCCAGGCCCTGAGATCCTGATCGATCTCACCGCGGTAGATCTCCTTCAGCACGGCAAGGGGATCCTCGTTCATCAAACCGTACGTGTTCATACGCTCCAGCGCGTAGGCTTTGCATTCCTTGAACCCCATCAGCGCATCCAGTTTGGCAAACTGAACGTCAGCCAATGTCGGGCTCTCGGTCGTTCCACAAGAGCCTTGGATGATTGGAGGCCCCTTCCTTGCGCCAATACCAATGACAGCAGCGAGGATGCTGGACGCAGGAAGATCAGGACTGTAGGAGCCGGTATGCAGGAACTCAAGAAAACGCATGAAGGTGCTCTCCGGCACGTCTTTGTGAATCTTGAGAAAGCGGGTCTTTGCTTTGTCAAAGATGCACGACACGCTATAGTATTTGTCGACGATCATCGAGTCCACGAGTGTAGGTTTCTTCCCGAAAAGGAACTCAATGGATTTGGCGGACGGTGTTACGCGTGCACGAGGTCTGACTTCGAGTTCGTGGCAACAAGCGTTGCGGACTTGTACTTCGGCTGAACGGACGCTCTCTGGCTGGTCGTAGAGCGGTTTACAGACTTTGTTGAACCATTTGTCGATTTCAGCGTTTGGTATCTCTTCGACATCGCAATGGCAGTGGCTGCAATACCAGGCATCGTCATCTTGGTGATCCTTAGCTTGTCGCTTCCTTGGATAATTGTACTCATCGGGAGCGTATCGCAAGCCACCAAGCTCGTGACCAAAGCCCAAGGGCGTTAGCTCCCTGCTGTTGGTCTTGGAGAGCTTCTTGATCGCCGTCAAGATTTTGCCGAAGGGTACGCCATGTCCGAGGCGTCCATATGCCACCTCCTCTTCCTCTTGCGGCCCACAGGCGACCAGGAAGTATGCGTGGATCATGTGGTGTATGAGGATTGCGACAATGTCCCTCGCTTCGGCATACTTCAGCACGTCGCTATTGAGTACGATTGAGATGCGTTTGACGTCAGCATTGGGCCCTTTTGAGTGCGTGTAAGTCGCTCCTGAGACGTCTGATTCGAGGCTGTCAATGCTGAGAAAGACAGCGCCTTTCAACTTTCCAGCGAACAACGTTTCGTTGAGACCATTGAATATGCGATAGGGGAGCTCCCTGAGCAGTCCATCGTGCTGGAACTCTGTCGCTCGTTTGCGTATAGCTTTGAGTCTGTCAGGAGCATCCGGTGAGTTTTTCCCATCCAGGAAGGCCACCAGATATGCTACCGCCCAGTCGATACTCCAGCCTAGGTTTCTATCACACCTGATGTGCGGATCACGAAGTCGCGAGTTGCGTGCTGATGGCGATCGGTCCCAGTCGGCAGATGATTGGCAAAGATCCCAGCTGGAATCATCTGAACTATACAAATCCAGGCAGCAGCGAGAATGCATGAGACTGCCAGGTGAGCGGTTTCTGCGCTTTTTCAGTGCGCGGTCGAACGGCATGAGTTCGGAGTACCCTAAGGTCATTGAAACAATACGTTATGAAGGCGATCTGGTAGAGACGTGAAATTTTGCAGAGGGGCATATAGCGCAAGTTCGTGTAGATATGTGGTTATCTGCAATCTGTCGCAGAAGGACAGCCGCTCCTGTAGTGGATGTTTGGTGTCCCGAGTTCGCTGGCATGGTACGGTTTCACCAAGAAGTTTGCTGTCTCGCAAGCGCTGCCGGTAGATCGCGGGGCCGTGATATCATTGGCGACGTCAAACATTGAGCGACAACAGTCGCATTTGTGGGCGATTCCTACGAGAGCACTTCTCACATTCTGATTGTCGGTCAGTTGTTCGTCTGATTCTCGTGGTGAGACGTATGACCTGGATATGCCACGTCGTCTGCTGAGACGACAGGGTTATCGGCTCGATGGTCACCCTCGTCGTGTCCGGTGTAGCTGACTATGCATTGCGGAGCTCGCGTCTAGACCCGTGTCAGCAGATTCGGTGCACTTTGAAAGGTTCCAGTAAAAGGACGAAGATGAGCGAGAGGAATAATGGTGTGGTGGGGATATCAATATATATTTAGCATGATCGAGATGACAGCGTTGGCGGCCTTCAAATCATCAAACAAGAAACACGAGGGATATACTAAGTCGTAGCTTAAAGCGCACCAGTACAAAACTGTCCGTACTGTGCCAGGAACTCTGACCAGCCGGGATACAATGCGGATAACATTACGCTGTGGTTGCTGGATTGTTGGACTTTCGCCGTCTAGTAACGCGGGGGGTCACGGGGGTCACGGCCGTACTCGTCGCCGGGCCTGTCGCCGGGCCTGTCGCCTACTTGGCTCCGGCCACTGCTGTCGCCGTAGTGCTTTCGCCTCAGAGCCGCGAGCCTCTTCTTCTTGGTGTGTGCGTTGATGTATGTACCGATGATGAAACCGATAATGTTGAAGAAGGGTACCCAAGTGGACTCGGGCAGGAACTGCTGGGCAAAAGCCAGCGAGATGGGGGAAACAATCCAGCTAACCTTCATGACGGGCATGAAACCGGCCTTGACGGTTGCGCGAACCTGGTGGAATGTGCGGGCGCCGGCAATGATAGCCATGGAAGTCAGATAGACACCGTTCTGGATGGGCGAAATCTGCGAAGATTAGCATAATGCACACACACACATGTTACGATCACAAGCGCATACAATCAGGTTGCTGACGAGAATCTGCAGGATCTTGGCCTTCACGCTTGTGCGTCCCTGGAAGAGCTTCTGCAGCATGCTGATGAGGACGTGACCGAGAGGCGCGCTGATGATTGCTCCATACAGAGCCATCTTGGGCACACGCGACGTGAAGTAGTGGCCGCTCTTGCTCCTGTCGTGGGCGATCCACGACGCGAGGAACTCTTGCAGACCTGACAGAGTTCCCGAGGTAAGCATCTTGGTGCGCAGCGGGTTGCTCTGCAGCTGTTTGAGGTACGCCTGTTGCAACGCACGTCAATTTTCTGCGAAACTATGCCTTCAATTGCGCGACACTCACTGCGAGGTATCCATTGGGGCCAGCGCCCTTTGTCAGCGCCTCGCCGACATGGTGCAGGATGTCGTCCTTGCCCTTGCCGCTCACGGCATCGGCAATAGCGGCCGTCGTCTTGGTGGTTTCCTTCTCGAACTTTACCGACATGGCGTCTGTCTGGTATGCGACGGTCGCCGGCGGGGGAGAGGTGTGTTTGGAGGTGAGGCCGGCGGTTGCGGGTGGATCTGGGGAGATGGGGGCACGTCAAGCTGCGTTGTTTACTGTCGTCCCCAGCCCTCCTCGGTCGGGTTGCGCCCACGGTGCCCAATGGAGCTAGCGCCAACGCCCACTCTTGCTAGATTTGGCGGCGGAGATTCCGGCAAGTCAGCGAGACAGCAGACCTCGGTCCTTGGTTCTGGCGATTCGCTCACGTCTCTCCTGCTCTAATGCAAAGATTCTGGGCACTGAACACTCACAGCAGGTGCAATGAGATGAGCTTTGGTGCAGCCCCAGCGGCGAGCGACATCGATTCCAGCGATAACGGAATAGCGGCGTTGGCCGAACGAGTGGGTATGGCGCGCGCGACTCGACCGGAAAACCCACATGTTCAGGACGACTCCATGGAGATGCTCGTCAGCGAAGCCAAATGAAGGGAGCCGTCGTACACATAGGAATGATGAAGACAAAGACACCCATGGATGTCGTAGCTGTCTTCAGTACAAGTAGCCTCGATAGATGTCCGGGTGTTTACTGTCGATGGGGACAACAGTCCTAGGCTATCTTTCAACACACACCCAGAGGTCTCTAGTTTGTAAGTTTGCTCAACATAGTTCCTTGTAGAATCTGCTGTATCCATCCCAAGCCCTGCCAACGTTCGCGGCATCCGTGAGCCAGCAAGGTTGAGCGCAACGGCGTCCGTTTACTTCTTCTGTCTGCAGCCCTCCCTTTCTCATCTCTCAACACCACAACAATAAGAGCCAGGAACTTAGAGGCTGGAGGCATTCAACTCCACGCCACCAGCGTGAGTACACTGTTGTGGTCTCGAGAAAGTGAGAGGTAGATTGAGTATGCGCACGATCGATGGTTAGTACCACACCAGCCCTCTCAGCAGACCCAACCCCATGTCGCTGCTGTTGAACCTCAACTCTCACGCCGCCTCGTCTGCTGCAAATCTTTTTCGCGTTTCGATATGTCTTGCACGCGTCGCTTTCTCGACTTCATTCTGTCGACATGATTTGGAGGGTCACTTTGCGTGCATTTGGTTCTTCTTGGCGGTACAAACAGCAGGAGCGATCCATGGCTCCGCGGGTTGCGGCGTCAGGAGGACACGAAGAAGAACACGAGGCTTAGAAGCTCATAATTTCTGTTTGATATGTTGTTCGCATTCGGGCGCCATGAGGGAGCCCCCGCTCAAGCCTCCGCGTCGCGTCGCTTGTTGCTGCTCCACACTTTCACCTATGCTGCGACTTCCCAATGCTGACACTCAACCGCAGGAGGCGCTCCTGCCCACCCATACACATCAATCGTGGAAGTGTCACTACAGCGCTTTTACCTTTTGGACCTCCCACCTCTTCCACCACATCTCGTCCCACCACGTCGGGCGGCATGAAGGTAGGTCCTATGGTGCTCGACATACTCGCTACCGTTAACAAAATTAAGGCGCGCACAATGCCGAGGCGCGTGCGGACACCCAACTGCACACATGTCGATATGGACCGAATCTACGGGCGGGACCAGCAGTGCTATGTCTGTGGGCGGGAGCCATCGATCGGCTTTCTATACGAGTGCCGTCAGGACTGCAACTCCCCCTCACTCCAGGATCTACTCTCAAGCCAAGAGAAAGAAGGAATTGTTCGACCGAAGTCTCCCCTTCGGTCAGAGCTTGAGGACATCGGTCTGAGTGAAAGCATCATACGCACCGCAGAGCAAGGCCATTACACCCCCGCACAGCTGGACGTGCTGAAGACGCAGAAGCAAGAGTTGAAGCAGATCATTGAAGATTCGGTCCAAGGGAGGCAGATCAACGATGTCGTTGCCAAACTGGCGGCCTTTGCGACGGCACCTTCCAACAACGATGGCGCCATGAACAGCAAGGGCAAGGACACAGTGAGTGCCTCCACGCTACAAACCCTCAAGACTTCAGCTGATGAGATACAGTCAGCAACCTGCGCCTTCAGAGCATGCCATACCTGCCGCCCGTACTACCGCGATCGTGTCTTCATCTCTTTCGCCGCTGTTGTTTCAGCCGACTTCCCACCCATCTCCAGGGAGGATGTGCAACATCTGCCCACCAAATCTGCGCGCGTAATGTGCTCAATTGGTGTATCTCACAACTCTTCGACGACTCGAATCGGTCACGACGAACCACCCTTCACAGCCCAAACCACCATCACGTTCGCTACCTCCACCGATGCACCGCACACAGCCTCTACCACAACCTCCGAATCAAGCGAGCTCACCTTCAAAACCACTCAGACCGACGTCGACGAGCTCCGCGCTCTGCGTCGCCCCCGTAGGAGATTCTACAACATTGGTCACAGATCGTCTGGCGAGATAGCGCGTGATCTATCGAGGATACCCCCTCTTCTTTCGCGTCAAGGATTGAAGTTTGCGATACAAGGCATCTTCCACCAGGGCAGAGACTCGAGCTCATCTGGATCCATGATCACGCTTCCTGTCCCGCGTACAGGCACAGTCCGCGACTCTTCAGCTGCACGACCAGTTGGCGATTTTGACATTGGTGCCTTACGTCGAGTCAGAAGACAAAAAGAGAGGAACGAGCTCCGGAATGGCACATATGTTGGAGGCTTTGAAGACGTGGGTACAACTCCACATACGGCTAAGCAAGGCACTGCGCATTCGCCGCACGCTAGCGATGGAGAGGGCAGTTGCTCGTCAGAGTCGGACTTCTCGGTCTACTCCTGCATATCCGAGGGTAGTGAAGTGGAGGTTGAGGGTGGCGTTGCGCTTACGGAAGAGGCGGTCGAGTCCCACACACCAGACATTCTCGCCGTCGATGTTCCCGCATCGAAGTCAGCAATCTGCATTCGGACCAAGGCGATGGCATATGATGACGATAGGTCGGAGGCAGATGTCGGACTGCAGAGTATCATGGCGCAAGTCTGATGCCAGTGCCAGTAGGCAAGTTATGATGGCAGAAGATGGATGGCAGATGAGTGGTGGAGGCAAACGAACGTAATGATTTACGCTGATATGCGTTATGATAAACGGCATTTTGAACATGGCATCTCTCGATACCCAAGACTAGATAGCAACAAGACAGCGGACGACTAAAACACAACTCGGTCAATAGTAATTCCTTGATCCTCTCAATAATCAACGGTCTCGTGGAAAGTAACGTCCGCCCGAGTTTCGATTCGAAGCCATACTTGCGTTGAGCTTATCGTCTTCGTAATACATGTGTACACAAGACTTTAGTTGACATGACAGTTCTTGCAGCAAAGATCAGAAACACTATTCTAGACATTGTTCATTCATTCTTTCATTCAGCTATCAAGAGTATAGACTATCCTGTCTGGCTCATGATGGCGTTCAACGTATGATTTCCCATTCCAAGCCTCAAACATCCATATCGGACCAAGTCATAATAGGTATACTAGCACACCTGGGCCTCAAAAGCCCTGCAAGCTTAACGGCCGGGACCGCCAGGGTAGCCCTGAGGAGCCTGTCCATATTGCTGCTGACCAGGGTAACCTCCAGGACCGCCCTGAGGCGGACGCTGCTGCTGGCCACCATACTGCTGACCCTGCGGCGGATATCCACCAGGCTGCTGGCCGTAGCCTTGCTGAGGTGGCTGTCCATACTGGCCTCCATGAGGTGGCTGTCCGTACTGCTGCTGGCCCTGGGGCGCACCATACTGACCTGGCGGGGGAGCGCCGTACTGGCCGCCTTGAGGTGGGCCGCCGTAACCCTGCTGGGGAGGTCCGCCGTAGCCGCCACCTGGGGGACCGCCGTAGCCGCCGGGTGCGGGGTTGGTCTTCTCGTCCTTAGAGTCGTAGGAGCGGTCGATGGCACCAAGGAGAAGTTTGATGATCCATAGGTCGGGGGTGAGGTCGACAGGAGGGTTGGCGCGGGACATCTCTTCTTGCTCGTTCTCGTAGTCTAGATGACGTGTTAGCAAAGAGCAAACTTGACTTCGCAACGGATTCGTGAAACGTACTGGATGTGCAGTCGACCATAGGACCAATCTGCGGATCCTCGTCGAGCTTTCCAAGGAACTTCTTGGCCATCTCGTCGTTACCGACCTGGGCGAATTCAAAAGCAACACCGCCACGACCGTACTGTGGATACCTCTGCTGCAGGGTGTCGAACGCGTATCTGATGGTATCGAACACAGCGTTCTGCGGTTCGCCAGCAGGCTGACCGTCTGTGACGGCAATGACGAGCACAGGCTTCCTGAGCTGGCCCTGAGCAGCCTTGCCGAGGATGATCTCGTCAATGACCTTCTTGCGGAGTGAAGTTCCCATGGGGGTGAGACCCTTAAACTGAACACCACGCATAATCTGCTCAATCTGAGCCTCAGTGGAAACACCATCCTGGAGAGGGCGGCCCTGCTGGTCACGCACAGAGGAAAGATCAGTGTTCATGAAACGAATCGAGATACCGTCAGCATCGAACAGGGTGGCGGCGAATGAGACACGCTCCAAGATAAGACGCAGGTCTTTGATACGCGAGCCTTCCTCCTCGAATTGCATGGATCCACTGTCATCGATGTACAGAACAATGTCGTACAGAGCCAGCTTCACGATATCGTTGGCAATCTCCTTCTGCACGCGCCAGCGCTGGATGACCTGGTTGATCTTTCCGGCGGCTTGCTGTGCAATCTGGTCGAGGACTGGTGTGCCCTGGGGGTAGAATGTTTGAAGTCCTTTCTCGTTGATGCAGTCCTGTAGCAGCTGCTTATAGGCTTGGACCTCAGCAGGGCTGCCCTGCACCTGCTGTAGCGGAGGTGGACCGCCCTGAGGTCCTCCAAAGCCTCCCTGACCCTGAGGTGGTGGGGGGCCGCCATACTGCTGGCCTTGAGGTGGTCCCTATAAGATCAAGTCAGCGCATGTTCGGTATGCAAAACATTGTTGCAAGCTTGCTCTGCATCGTCTCGAACAAGGTATCATTGGAAGCACAGCAGAAGGCCACGTGTGGGATTACGAACATATTGGCCGTAGGGTTGCTGTCCATATTGCTGCGGAGGTTGGCCATACTGGGACTGTGGTGATTGGCCCCACTGGTTCTGCTGTTGGTATGGTTGCTGGCCGTATTGTTGCTGACCGTACTGCTGAGGAGGCGGTTGACTCCATTGATTTTGTGGTGCTTGACCTGGGTATGGAGACATTGGTGATGGCGGGAAGGCAGGAGATTGAGGCGGTTGACCAGGCGGCGGTGGAGGAGGTCTGTTATATCCTGCCTGTCCTTGGGGGTACGGTGATGATGGTGCGCCATATGGGGCAGGAATAGGCGGTTGTGTGTAAGGTGACTGCGGCGGGGCTTGCGACCCGGGGCGCAAAGGCAGTTGTGGTTGTCCAGGTGGCTGCGCATTTTGGCTATACGGATTAGGTGGTTGTCCGGGATATTGTGATGGCTGATAAGCAACGTAGTTGCCAGAGGACGACGCCATCTTGCTGGAGAGCGGCATGTTGTGGCTGGAGTTGTGGCTACAACAGACCGGTGTGGTGTCCAGACGAGTGCTTTTCAAGCAGTGGGGTTGGTCCAGAAAAGCCAAAAGCAAGGTGGAGAATAATAAAAAGCTTGCGGAAGCCTAGGGTGATGTGGCGCGCGTGATAAAGGATGATGACGATGCAGAGCAAGCGAAAACGGAGTGGAAAGAAGAGCTTACTTGACCGGGAGGAGCGGCACCTTGCTGCCCTGGATATGCTTGGTACTGCTGTTGTCCGGGCTATTGAATTAGCTGTGCTGTCGAACAACTTTTCACTTCTGTTCAACTCACATAGCCACCCTGTCCGCCTTGAGGAGCGCCACCCTGGGGAGGGTATCCTGCTGCAGCATTCGCTGCCGCCATCTTTGATGCCACTGTAGCTATGCGTCAGCCCTTCCATGCCCCGCGCAGTCGTCATCGGTTGAGCTTCGCCAAGAAGCTTTGGTAGCTACTTACAACCCATTTTGTGCTTGTTTTTCAGGTGTTGAAATTGTGAATTCTTGTACCGAAACTTCAGAGAGGAGGCAAATATGAATCGAAAAGAGAGAAGTTGGCGGGTAATACAACTGGTGAGCCTTGCCTTAGGTGAGTATAAGGAAGGTAGCTAGAGATGACAGCATGCATCATAGCCCCGGCAACCGCGACTCAGCCCCTCAGCCCCTCCATCAGCACCGCCCTCTCATCTGCATGACGCGTTGTCATTGGCTCTTTGGGGGAACACGCGTGTTGTTGGTTCGCCGTGAAATGTGGACACAAGACTGATGAGCTGTCGAAATTTGGGCAGCTTGCGCCACGTCTGCTTGGTCACAGCGGGGGCAATGTGCGATTCGAGGAACGAGCGGGGTATGGTCAGACAGCACATTTTCCAGCCACGAACGACAAACGCCCTGCAGCAGGCTGCATAACGACGTTGCGATTGACAGCAGTAGCAAAGATCGCCAGGTCCACAATCAGAGAGTCTAGGGCTGAGGGCGATGTATATGGGGACAGCTGAAAGTTTAGCGACTCTAAGGTGAGAACGACGAGAAGGAACCTGGGCAGCAACAATGTCTGGGCAATTACGAAGTGACTTTCAGATTAAAGATCTTTCCCTCCGAAACGCGACCAATACCAGTTGCTGAAGGACTGCGAGACATTCACACCTTTGTAGTCTCCAACTGCACTGGCTTCTCCAGGTTCTCGTCATCAGCAGCCGCTTCCGCCTCCTCAAGTCCTAGACTTGCCGCGATAGGATACAGTCTGATCTTCTCTTCGTGCGCTGTAGTATCACCAAACGCAGCGTCTATCTTTCAAGCTACTTCCCCTTTGTCCGCGGAATGATGAACCAAGTAAAAGCAAACGCGATCAGCGCGAAGGCCGCGAAGAACAGGTACGTGCCGTAGCCGATTGACTCGATTATGTCAGGTGTGACAAGACCAATGATGAAGTTGCACATCCAAGTGGATGAGGTGGTGAGCGACATGGCTTTCGATCTGTTACCGGGATTGTAAATCTCTGACGGCAAGACCCGGCCGATAGGTGCCTATGAGTACGAGAAGTTGACGTCTTAGATGTAGACAAAAGCGATGCCCGTCCAGCCTGCTGCAGAATGATCTCGGAGCGTGTCACCGTATTCGCCAATGACTCCACCAACAATGACCAGCGAAATGAAAGTTCCTGCAGCGCCACAGAGCAGGAGCGGCTTACGTCCGACTTTGTCGATGAGGAACAGTGCGGGAAGTGTAGATAGTGTATTGACGATGCCATACACACCAGTTGCTAGTAGACCTCCCGTCTTGCCAAGGAGCCCCAACTGCCAAAGATGGTAGGAGCGTAGTAGATGATCGCTGGAGGTCGATGCGTTAGCTTCTGCTATGTTATACAGTGTACCTGGAACTTGCTAACTCACCATTGCAGCCAATGAGTTGCTGGAAGAACATGACACAGCAGCCAATAGCTGTGCGCTTGAACGAGGGCCATGTGGAGAAGAGTGTGGTGTAGCCGGCAAGGCAGAGCAACACCTGAATCGCCAGGGAACTTCTCGCGATTGTAGGACTGCTCGAAAATTACTTCAGTCTTGATCGAAAGATACTCCTTCTGAAGTAGGTCATCATCAGGGTTGGTCTGACGGACACGTGTTAGAGCTGCGACGCCAGCCGCATCATCGTCTTGCATGCAGTAGAACCGCGGGCTCTCAGGGAAGAAGAGCATTCCAATTCCAAGGACGAGAGCTGGGGATATCTGTAGAGCAAAAGGGACACGCCATGCAACCAGCCTTTGAAGCCGCTATCAAGCGCGACTCTGGGGAATGTAGCAGCGAAACTTTCCATCGTCAACACTCCGCTCACCACGCCTTGGTCGTAGCCAAAAAGAAAGCCAGCAAGATATGCAAACTTGGCATCTAATTAGCATGCCATGCATTGTAGTGCTGAAGAGAGGCGCTCACAATTTACAATTCAAGCAGGTAAGGGCTTGCGCGCAGCCCCTTGTACACTCCCTTTTCTTTGAAGATGCCTATGGCCGGCGCCTTCGAGGTGTAGTTCATTCGACATGTTGCGTAAGAGGTATTCTTCGCTGACTGACTGTGGAGCAAAAAACTGCTGTGGCTTCCAACGTGGGGAACCACATCCTTAAATACGCCTGGATGGTGTTTAGGCATACCACGATATCATGCGTGAAGTCGCGAGTCAGAGTAGTCAGAGTACAGTGGCCCGAATCAATCAGACGACAAAGTTTCTGTCGTATGCATCACTTTCAGCAGTTGCCTTGCTTTCCCCGCAAGGTCGGTTGGCCTTTGCCCCATCTTCGCGTTAGTGCATGGAGAAAGATGAGGCGTTGACGAAAGTTGTGGTCGGACTTCTGTCATCCGAACCCCACAGGTCGGCCTCTTGCTGTTCGGACAGAATTTTGTACCCATGTTGAATTAATCTTTCACTGACATCTCGATCCCCATTTCTCGCAATCGAATGACTGCCTCCTCACTCTTATTTCCAGTTTCCAAAATGGCAAAGGACTTGGTTACGGGTAGCCTTACCGTGCCTACTCTCGATCTAGTTAATCGTATCGAAAAGCTTCTCGAACGCCAAGCTTCCGACCCTCGTCAGCGCATGCTCGTTGCTCTTGCGGGTGTTCCCGGTTCTGGAAAGTCGACTGTGTCGTATGCGTTGCTGCAAGAACTCGCTAGTCGAGGCATCAACGATGTTGCAACCGTGCCCATGGTGAGTCCACATCCATATGCACGAACGAACACTCAAACGCTGATCGGTATTGCAGGATGGCTTTCATTACACCAAGAAGGTCCTCTCGACGTTTGAGGATCCTGAAAAAGCCTTTCAGAGGCGCGGTGCTCCGTTCACGTTCGATGCAGACGCTTTCTTAAGCCTCATCAGAACTTTGAAGTCAATGCCTGTCACAACAGGCGAAGAACCAGAACAGTCCGTATACGCACCCAGTTTCGACCATGCAGTCCAAGATCCAGTCGAGGATGACGTCGCCATCTCCTCGCGAAACCGGGTCGTTATTGTTGAAGGCAATTACACGCTTCTAAACCAGAAACCGTGGAATGAGATCACGGACATCTGTGACGAAAGGTTGGTGTTGTGCACTGGGCCGCGTAGGAAGCAGATTCGAGCTAACCGACTTCAGATGGTTCGTCGACGTTCCTCCCGATATAGTAAGAGATCGATTGGCGGCACGTCATCTTGCTGCAGGTATCGAGTCTTCATACGAGGCAGCCGTCCAACGAGCAGAGACGAACGACATACCGAACGGCGTGATGATACGGTCGCTTCTGATTAAGCCCGATGTCACCATCCACAATTGATATGCCATGGCTTGGTCTGAGCCCAAACGCTTGACAACATCGCTTTGGGTTCAGAAGCCGTTGGAAGTCAGATCCCAGTCAAAAGAATCGAAGAGTTCGTTCGACTCGATAGACCAGGGGAAGTTGCTCAAGGCATCGCGATCCAGATGGGGGGCGTCTTGAAAGATACCAGCGTCTATGTCGTCGATTGTAACGACTTGATCAAGGATAGCGACGCAACGGGCCGAAAGGGAGTCCTCGACAAGGTGGTCTCGAAAAGTGCTTCTCGCCAAGCGGATCGCTTGGTGCCAGACTGACAATTCAACGGATTGCGGAAAACTGATAATGCACAAGCTCATCACTAGCGCTGCGTGGAAGAGGAAGTACCTGTAGATAGGCGTTAAAAGAGTAGTCGTCAAATTGCAAATTCTATCACTTACGTGGCATACCAGCCTTCTAGCCTGGTTAGGCCTTGTGCGGCATATTGATGTATGGATGATACCGTAGCGTTCGCGGCCTCGATACATAGTTGTGTACACTCCTCTTGCTTTGCTTGCGCCACAGGATCAGGAATTTGACCTCTCTCGGAGATGGCGTGACGAAGTAGAATGTGGCGGAAAACGATGATTTTGAGGTTCCAAAATCTCCACCATAGCCGGGATCTCGCGAACGTATACCATCGGTGCTGGCAAGCGGACTGATGATCGAGCTGAAAGTAGGTAGGCAGATTCTGTGACCATGCATCCATCGAAGCGCTGATAGAGAGAGCTGCCTCTGCGGATAGCCCAGGATCCGCGAGGAGCCGGTTCGAAATATGATTCGTGTGCATGTGCAGATCGCTTTGTGCTTTCAAGGCGGAGTAAAGCGTCGGCTCCGTCGATTCGATAGGTAGCTCGGTCGTTCGGGGTGTGAGCGCCTAGAGGTTGTCAGTATTGGATATCAGAACTGGTGGTCTGTGAACATACTTCATCGCTGACGTTTAGAACGGCATGCACGTTCATGGAGTCCCGGTCTGGGAGCATTATCGCTCTTCCAAATGTCGTCGAGGCACCACTATCGAAGATGTACAAGCCCCACCAGACTCGACGACGGATCTCACGTTCCATGGGGCTGATGTTCCAGTGTGGTAGTTCCCTATGCAGTGCTACACTCAGAGCATTGCGAACTGAGAGCCCAAGAAGGTTCCATCCGGTGTTTGGGGCGTTTCTCTTTTGACTCAAGTTACTCAACAAGATCAAGGCTTGGATCGACGTCAGATTGACCGTCTCAAACACCGACTCATGTTGCCCCAGAGTGAGCGCACGGCGATACAGATAGTCCTCTAGACCCACTTGATCTTTATTGAGGCTCCATGCACCCAATGCTAAGATTGCGTGGTACAGCATGTCCCAAGATCTTTTCGGTGGGCGTGGCACGATCTCGTGGTACTGAGCTCGAAAGGTTGCTTCGTGCACAAAGGGATAGACGCAATGATACTCCTGGAAGTATGCGTCTATCAGGGTGGATGCAATCTGATTCGTCAAGGCAACATGAGAGATTTGAGCAGATGCAAATACACTAGTGAGGAGCATCGAGCGCTCAGTCCGGCGTTCTTGAGGTTGCGCATGGGACTGATGCAAGAAGCCAGCCCAGTCAAGGAGACATCGTAGGAAAACGACACCGGAAGTGGAGCCTGCAAGTTTATAAGCACCGCGATTAGCAAGAACGAAAGGCGGTTTACCTAGATAGCCAACACCAGTGGGCTCAACAGAGAGCGCGGCCATGCCATCAGTAAGGCTATCAACATTGGCGCCCTCTTCTTGCCAATTAAACCCATCTGCATCGCTGGGCACCGCTTCCGGTAGGACTGGGTCGTTAGCAACAGCCGGACTCGAATCGCTTGGCGGACTCGATATCACTGCAGGGCGCAAGACATCGGGCGTAGAGGGCCTTGCCGCCAGCGACAAGGCTTGCGCCAGGTCTGGTGAGCTGAGCACATCATCGATATTGACTCCAGGAAGAAGTTGGGAAACAAGAGCCTCGAGTCCTTGTAGTCTCTTCTCAACGCTTGTGAGGTAGCTAGCATCTCATCAGCGAACGGCCTGAACAACTTGAAAGTAAAACTTACGCTCTCGTCAACGGCGATCTGATTATCTTCCCGCTGTAATGACATCTTGCTCCACTCTTAGCACAGATTCTACAAGTTGGATGCTCTTTCGAGCACTGTACGATGTTAGCACGGTCTGCATCATCAGTCGCATTACGAGAGGTACAAACCTTCAGTTTTTTGTGACGGCATCGGTCACACTATCTTCGAATCAGCCATTGTGTAGGTCAAAAACACGATCAAGAGACGCACTGAAAGTGAATCCCTGGCCTTTCTCTGCTCCATCCATACAATATGGTTCGTGTCGTGAGTGTGGGGTGCAGGAACGATTGCCAGTGGACTGGGAGAGGTGCAGGGGCTGAGGATTGTCCCGCATAGCCTAGACTCTTTCGGGCATCGCACTTGCCCTTCATCGCTTTTTGCATTTGCATTTCGAATGCAGTTAATGGACTGAACTTTTGATCATTGTATTGTGCAATAAAAGGTCCCTGAAGCTTCTGATGGCGGTTTTAGAATACAGCGGAAGTGCGGATAAAAGCTAAAGCTGGTTGTTACTCTTGCACAGCTCAACTTTCAGCGAGCCTTGGAGTTGTCGCACCGGCTTCGCTCATCATGGTGGATTTCTGAAGCCTATTTAAGCTCTCCCTAGAGGTCTTCATAATGGTCATCCGGCCGATTGGTGCATGCTGCACTCAGACTCTGAGCCTAGTCGTTCTCCTTGGTGAAGCCTCTTGTTGGCCAGCAGGACTCGAGATGAGTAGACGTGAGTGTTTCATCAAGCACCATCAGGTGATGTTAGCATCGCATGGATGTGACTGATGATTCTTCACAGCTCCTTCATCAGGTCATTGACTGCTTTCGCGGCAAAGCGTTTTCGCTCAGCCTCCTCCATGCCTTCACCCATTTCTGTACCAGTTAGCGTCACTGTATTCGTCAATCTGCATGAAGACTTGACACACCTTTAATGGCAACCATCTTCCTCATCATGATCTCTAACTCCTCCACATCTTTGTCACCCAGCTCACCTTCCCCATCGTCGCCGTGCAGTGCATCTTTCATGCCGAATAGCTCCATGTTCATCTCAGCCTCTTCAGCCGCAAAGCTACCCTCGAAGCCCTCAACATCTTCACCCAAGTCTAGGTCAGCGCTGCTGTCCCATTCACCAGCCTCGAGCGCTTCTCTGACCCTTTGTACGCCAACCGCCTCACCGAAGTCGTTCTTGCCTTTCGCCTCCGAATTGATATATTCAAAGCCGTACTCCATGCATAGCTCCTCCCATTCGTCACTTGATCGTTCAAGATAGGGTGTGGTGGACTGCGGCATTGCGACCGCAAGACATACGGTATCGCCCGCGTAGCCGCATGCGCGCTCGATCACGTCGGATATCGCTTGCATTGTGTCTTTTATTACTTCGAGATCTTTCGTTTCAATCGGCTTCTTGAAGCAGTATATCCAGCCTCCAAGCACGGTTACTACTTCACGAGCTTCAGGTTTTGTGAATTCGGTGCGCCATTCGGGGACGTCTGTGATCTCGTCGAGCCATATCGGTAAGGTAGCGGTGTAGTATTTCGTTTCGAGGCGCCATTCGTGCGAAAGGCCTACGGTGGTCTCTTTCCCTTCGAAGGTGGTGAGTTCTGGCGCAGATCCTGTAAGCTCTGGAAGAGCAGTTAGCAGTTAGATTCCCTAGCACATCGGTAAGAGTTACCTTTCAGGATGCTGAGCACTCCAGAGCCTGGCGCACCCACTGCAAGTATGCGCCGTGGGTTCTTGATGTCCATGGCGCGTTGTGGATGTATGGTCGCAAAGTTGCGGAGTTTCGGAGGTGCAATTGTGGGGGTACTTAATCACCCCACTAGCATGTGTGAGCATGGCCGTCTTGTAGAACACAGTCGATCGTGGTTCCAGCCGAATGCAGATGTCTGGTGTTAGTCTCACAATAGCGTCTCGTAGCCGTTGCACGATGCTCGCAACTTCGGTCGTAACATAGCCAATATCTCATTCCTCAACTGGTCCAACCTTTTCGAAGGACTTGCTACTTGTTTGTTCAGCGCATTTTCCTGATCAGGCAGAACAGACCTCATACCTGTCCTGCTCCTCCTTGCGCACGCTCTTCGCGTGGGGTATGTCCTTTCTGGCTTTTGCTCATGTCTTCATGCTCAACAACTCAATCCCCTCAAGGCCGTCCACCTCGTCCTCCGCTGGCCCTCGCCCTGATGACTGTAGCGCGACCACGTGCAAGACCGACACCACGGCCTCGTGTGCCTCTTGATCGGAACATAGGTGCGTTCCTATAAAATGATCAGCGCTTTATTAGAGAGTAGACAGATCGACTTCTTTACCTCAGCATATCTGGAACGATGAAGTATCGTACGTGGCTGCCTCTGATGTACACCTGCTCGAGATGCGATACACGGCCGTCGCGTGCGGTCACGGTAATGTCCTTGAGCTGCACGTTCATGTTGTCCTCAGCTGTCAGCTATTAGTGTATATTTTTCGACAGCCAGAGTATTGTAAAAGCGCACCTTCAATAAGCTTGCCGCGGTATACCTCGCCAGAAGTGATCTCGAGTGTGACGATGTGGCCCTGAACACTGTCAGCGCAGATCCACTACCAGCATTACTTCACATACAGCAGCTTCATTGAGAAGTTTGATTGGGATACCGATTGTGCTCGTCATTTTGGCAGTTCAATTCGTGATCCCTGAGAGTGATTCGTGTGGTTTTGCGAGTCGTGCGCGTGGTAAGATCGAAAGGAAAGCGTTGGACGAATCTCGTGCAAAGTTCGGCAGGCGCGTCGGCGGTCGCGGCGAGTTTCGATGAGCGCAGATTTTCGAGTCGCAAGACTGTCCGGTACGTGTTTACCGAACACTATGAAGAAGTGGACGTATATGTGGGGTGCAGGCTCGTCGAAGATCGATGCCTCCACGAAAGTTGCACTCGCGGAGCTCTACCTAGCGCTTGGCCAATTCACTAGCGCGTTTGCCTTAGTAAGCGGTTTCGAGTTCAAACAGTAACACCTCTCATCACTAACAGTTCTCTTGGCCGTCTCAATGAACATCTCCGGGACGTTGAACGTCTTTCGGCTGCTGAGGGATCCGACACTATGTCTTCCACAGCATACGGTGTCAACGTTCAACCACCTGCCAATCCCACTATCGAAGGCGTTTCCTAAGAAGAATGGCAAAGATGGAGAGAAAGAAGTTGACATTCAGGCGGTAGTCCTTGACAAGGATAACTGCTTTGCTATACCACATACTGATGAAGTATATCAGCCTTATAAGGTAGGCTTAAATCTTCCACAGTCCTCAATGTCAACTTTCATCCCTCATTCACACTTTCGTCAACACAATTGAACTAAAGCTTCCGTATATTTAAGTCATTCACGCGACTTGTTCTCACGCCGCTTCTTCTTAATGCACCTCACGCAGATACTTTATATCCTCGTTTTCTTGAAGACCTAACCTTACATCCCCCACAGGACCACTTCCAACGCCTGCGCCAAGCGTACCCTGGCTCGAAACTCCTTATTGTCTCCAACACAGCAGGCACCAATTCAGATCCAGGCTTCAAACAGGGAGCGATCCTGGAAGCCAATACCGGCGTCAAGGTCCTCCAGCACTCAACGAAGAAGCCTGGCTGCAAGGACGAAGTCATGGCCTATTTTAAAGCTCATCCAGAGTCCGGCGTCACAAGGCCAGATCAGATTGCGGTCGTTGGCGACCGACTGTCCACCGACATCATGATGGCGAACATGATGGGTAGTTATGGCTTCTGGATCAGAGACGGTGCGGTGAGACCAGGTTTTGTAGGTTGACCTTCTTTCTCATGGGATGGTCGCTGACAATAGACAGCTTGCGAGAATGGAAGATAGATTGCAGAGCTTCCTATTTCGACGAGGATACTCTGCACCAGACCCATTACACAACAATCACTTCGAATAGGGTGATGCGCGAGGTTTCCTGGAATTTACTCACTCTTACTTTGTACGACTACTTGTAAGCTTTTGCGCGATTCCTGTCAATTGCGGACGATGCGGTATCAAAACATTACGAACTTGGCGGCATGTGAAGCGCTGTCAATCACACATATACACTCTAATAGCACTCCAAATCTAATTGCATCTTCGGAATTGTATTGCTGCGCCAGTATTTCCCAAAGGATCACTGACCGCTACAGATGGTTCCATCTGAAGGAGCTACCGGTGAGCGGACAGTTACCTTTTTTGAAAGCACGCCGAGGTGCAAAGGAGAGGGCGAAAGATAGCTCCGGCAATCTTTGAATGTCGATCTATCACATATTGTAAATTTGAAAGACTGATCATGCTGTGTTGGAATGTATAACTTCTCGAAGGACATCGATGGTTGGCGTGAGATTCGGAAAAGCACACCCAATTTCAACTTTGACCAACAGACACGTTATCCTTTTACGACCTCCATTCTCCGACATATAGGCATCACGGCTGTTAGAATTCATGTGTACACAAACAAGCTATTCACGTATTCGCGATGTGCTCCACGATGCACAGTTGCTGGACGAGTGGCTATGGAGTGACGACCTCTAAGCTGGACGACTTGCGACAGTTGCATCTGCAATTGCAAATCCGGCTGAGTTAGCTACGGGCCCGCGCCTCGTCCGGACTGTTGAAAGCTTGGTGCCAACTAGCCTATGACGTTGCTCGTACAGTAGGCTCGTCAGCAGAAATCGTGGACGCCCTGTGGTTTGCACGGGGTGTGGGGTCAGAAATGTCCCCGAGAGCGGGGACCTGGGTTGGCAGGTCTGGCAGATCTGGCGTGCGGAAGTGAGCCGGAAGCTGGGGACTGCGAAGGCATGGTGCTGGGGTTTTAGATAACGAGTGACGTTGCACCAGTCTCAATGATCGCCGGCTTACTGTGTTGCAGATTGTCATACTGGAGCCATTCGATGGCCGGTTACCCATAAAGGACAGATTTGATTATGTGCAACCATGTAGTATACCAAGTGAATCCTACGACTACTCTCGACTGAACGAGGAAGGTGCTCGTCTAACATCAGTACAGAAAGAAGTACAGTAGGATACATCAGGCTAGAAGCTCCAGATTACCTCGTGCGGAGCTCTAGGCCTCCTAGATAACCACGCCAGTTACCCCTCGAAGCACCAAGACATCCGTTTTCTGACGCCTGAGCCGCGGCTGGTAAAGACATAAAAGAGTGCTCTGTATGGTGGATAAAGGCACTCCACGAGTTCGTGCTAAGGTGAGGCATTTACGTTGGGCTCAATACCGCAGTGACGGTGCGGTTGAACTGGTGGTACGGAAGCTGACGGTTTCGTCTCTCAATGTCAAGTGGAGGTGTTACAAAGACACAGATTAGAGTTCTTGTTGCTTATGCTCGGTGTTGCCTGCTGAGAGGGATGAGTGCATGCAGCGACAGTTTCATGTGGAGATGAATGCCGTGCGGCGCCATACTCTCAGGCAGCCAGGCAGGCCTACTAAATATACGCACGCACAGTGCGACGGCAGCAAGTGGTGGCTGCTTTCGTACTTGGACATGGCCTGCGCGCTGTGCCGTCGATCATAGGCTTCTGCTGCATCGCCAAAGCAAAAGGCATCCCTCAACCGTGAAGCTTGAGCCAGCCGCACCTCCCGCCAGCGGTGGCAGATGCGCCGTCTGATAAACTGCGGGCCTCCGTCACTCAGCTGCGCGTGCACATATACCGAGCTGGGCCTGGCCCCGTACCCGTTGTCCTGTTCCCATTTACCATCTGTCTTCCCCCTTTGAGAAGTGAAGTTCGACATTCCCAGAACGCACACGTATCGCCTTCTTGCATCTTCACAAGCCACCGCTGCACGCTCGCCAATCCGCGGCGCGTGACAAGCTCCCTTGAGCATCTTGGCCCCATTGGTTGATACACAACTTGCAAGAGCAACCATCCAGGGGGGAGGGCGTGAATTCCAAGGTTGCAGCGTGGGGTGCCAGGGCAATTGCGCATTGCCCATATCCACAGCTACGTCAACAAGCAGGCTCGACCGAGGCTTGTTTGTTGTGGCATTGCTCGTGTACGGCAGAGACGGCGCTGCACAATAGGATCCACGGAAGCGCGGACGCGTTAGCCAGCGGCGGCGACGTCAACCAAGCCCAAGATGCCTCGACCCGCATTCACATCGAAACTCTTGTTGCCCCAACGGCTCAAGCAGAACAACAGCACCACCTCCGTCAACAGCATACCCACCAGCCGCCAAGGCAGCCCGAAGAGAAACATGAGCGATGTCAAGCCAGGCCTCGTGCTGCGGGCAAACGTAATCAAGGTGCGCGCCGTGGTACCCGCGGAGGAGAACGAGCATCCACTGACAGACGCAGGGCAGGAATCTAGCTGCAAAGGACAGGAGTGGCACCTCCGACCCTGTGAGTACCCTTTGCGCCAGAAAATCACGCAGACACGTGGAATTGCCATGTTCCTGCAGTACTGGAGCTGACAGCTGTGCAGTACCTCGTCGTCTCCCTCGGCGATGCAAAAGAAGCCACCCCGACCATCAATAAGACCCTGAACCCCGAATGGAACACAACGCTCGAGATGCCCATCTTGGGCGAGCAGAGTCTCCTGCTCGAGGCTACCTGCTGGGACAAGGACCGCTTTGGCAAGGACTACATGGGCGACTTTGACGTCATACTCGAGGATGTCTTCCAGCATGGCCACCCTGTCGCCGAACCGCAGTGGTTTCCACTCGAATCGCGCCGCACAGGGAAGAAGAAGTCGCACGTCTCTGGCGAGATCCAGATCCAATTCACCCTCATCGACACGAGCAACCCTACAGCTGTCCCTGAACAGATTATGCAGAAGTTCTTCGCCATTGCCGGCCAGACACCTAGCCCGGATGAGTCTGATGAGAATGGCCTGCTGCGCGCCGACAGCGCAGGTACCGACCTCGACGACGACGATGAGAGCGAGAGCTCCAACGAAGCAAACGACGAATCGAAGAAGGCAGCGAAGAGGGAGAAGCGCCGCAAGAAGCTTAGAATGGCACGACTCAAGAGGAAGGCCAAGCAGATCAGTGGCTACGAATACTCAGATAAGTCGGAAGTTGCAGGCGTCCTATTCCTGGAAGTGCAGAACATCACAGATCTACCTCCCGAGAAGAATGTCACACGGACATCGTTCGACATGGATCCATTTGTTGTGACGTCCTTGGGTAAGAAGACATATCGCACGAAGACCGTCAGACACGACCTGAACCCGGTTTATGAGGAGAAGCTCGTTTTCCAGGTCCTACGTCATGAAGTCAACTACTCTGTGAACTTCACAGTTGTCGACAAGGACAAGTTCTCTGGAAACGACTATGTCGGCATGGTCAACTTCCCTCTCGAGAAGGCTGTCTCTGTCGCACCTGAAGCTGATCCCGACACTGGTCTTTACAAGCTGCCTGAACCGTCAGATTCACCGGGTCTCCCTGACACTGGTCGAAGGTCTCGTTTTCGTCTCCCTGTCTCCCGCTCGTCATCCTCGCATAGTCTCTCTCGCCTAGGCAGGCCATCCCTGAAGAAGGAGCACTCTGCTGGCTCACTCTCGGCTAGAGAGTCAAACGGGTCATTGCCACTTCCACCGACAAGTGCACCCGCCGTGGACAGCAATGGAAACCTTGCACCTGTGCCTGCTATCAACGTTGACCCATCCACTGTGGACGACCAAGACCTGAAGACCTACATTTTGCCACTTGAGATGAAGAATAAGGAGCGATGGGAGGCGAAGCACAGCCCAACGCTTTACATCCGCGCCAAGTACCTTCCGTACAGAGCTCTGCGACAACAATTCTGGAGAGCCATGCTTAAGCAGTACGACGCCGACGAAAGTGGTCTGATCGACAAGATCGAGTTGACAACCATGCTCGATACACTTGGTTCCACTCTGCATGCCTCGACTATCGACAGCTTCTTCAGTCGATTTATGGCCGATCACAACGGCGATGAGCTGCTCACCTTCGATGAGGCTGTCATCTGTCTGGAAGATCAATTGCAGAAGATCGAGCAGAAGGAGGCTCAGAAGAGCGGAAACGCAAGCTTGTTTACTCCGGGCACGGAAACACCATCATTGGCATCCGGACAACTGACCCCAATCAACAAGAACGCCTCGAGGACATCGATCCCCGTGCTTGAGACCAATCAGTTGGGCGCAGACGGCGAGGAGGGCGATTTCCTCGCCGACGATCTTACCGATGAGACTGGCGAAGAGCACGTCATTGAGATTCGTGAATGTCCTATTTGCCATCAGCCGAAGCTGAACAAGAGGTCTGACGCCAACATCATAACTCATATCGCGACATGTGCTAGCCAGGACTGGAAGCAAGTCAACAACATCGTCATGTCGGGCTTCGTTACATCAAGTCAAGCTCAGCGCAAGTGGTATTCCAAAGTCATCACCAAGATCTCGTACGGTGGCTACAAGCTGGGTGCCAACTCTGCCAACATTCTCGTACAAGATCGTCTTACCGGTCAAATCAACGAGGAACGTATGAGCGTTTATGTTCGCTTGGGTATTCGTATGCTCTACAAGGGTCTAAAAGCCAACAATATGGAGAAGAAGCGAATTCGCAAACTGCTCAAGTCTCTTAGCTTCAAGCAGGGCAAGAAGTACGATGATCCAGCCTCTGCGAAGGAGATCGAGCCATTCATTGCTTTCCATCAGCTTGACATGTCTGAAGTGCTTCTTCCAATCTCGCAATTCAAAAACTTCAACGAGTTCTTCTACCGAGCTCTGAAGCCCGGAGCACGTCCCTGCTCAGCACCAGATGACTCGAGAGTCATTGTCTCGCCGGCCGACTGCCGTACTGTCGTCTTCAACACACTCGATCAGGCACAGTCCATCTGGGTGAAGGGTCGGGAGTTCACGGTTGAACGCCTTCTGGGCGATGCCTATCCTCAGGACGCCGCACGCTACCACGGTGGCTCCCTTGGTATCTTCCGACTTGCACCACAGGACTACCACCGCTTCCACATCCCGGTCGACGGAGTGCTGGATGAACCTAAGACTATCGAAGGAGAGTACTACACTGTCAACCCAATGGCTATCCGCTCAGCTCTTGACGTATACGGCGAGAACGTGCGCGTAATCTGCCCTATCGATTCCGTCAGCCACGGACGTGTCATGGTCATCTGTATTGGTGCTATGATGGTTGGTAGCACGGTTATCACACGTAACAAGGGCGACCACGTCAAGCGTGCTGAGGAGTTGGGCTACTTCAAGTTTGGTGGGAGTACATTGCTGTTGCTCTTTGAGCCTGGGCAGATGCGATACGACGACGACCTTGTCGACAATTCGCGATCTGCACTGGAGACTCTCGTAAGTTTTGTTCGTCCACTCACACGTTTGATGTGCTAACGATGAACAGGTCCGTGTCGGCATGTCTATTGGTCACAGCCCTGAGAGGCCGCCACATATTCCTGACATGCGCAAGAGCAACCCAACACAAGAGGAGAAGCAGGACGCGAAGCGTCGTATCGAGGGCAGCTTGGCACCTGAGGGCGTCACGGGACCCATGCCCGGAGCTGGCATGTCGTAGAGAATAGCATTGTTGTAGCTGCATGTTCAACAGATGCAAGCAGCGTGTCTGGATAGGATACACGAGTGGATGATTGCATATGGAACGGTGGCTGTCGGAGGCTGCTTTGTCCGCGGCGTTTTATGGCGGCTTCATCATCAAGCCTGAATAAAGAGGCATTTCAACATACACAATACACACCTTTACCTGTAATTGCCGAGCTCGTTCTTGCCTTGTGAGTTGTCGATGTGGAGTTCGTCACGTGCCGGCGCTAAAGTTTGTTTACATCTTGGCAATGTCCAGAGGGGAACGAAGTGACGATCCTCACACCCTCAACCCTGCTCCCGCACGTTGACCGCACACTTCACCACGGCTCGAGGCTATTCGCATTACCGCCAATCTTTACGACCGCAACTACGAATACCTGGAACATACTTTTTGACGCGCCTCTACTTGCGTTCGACCGTGCCCGGCTTCTTGCGCTCATGCACGCGCTTTGACGCTACCACGCTACTACAACACCAAGATCACCTCCATCACACCGGACTCAATGTCCACCATCTTCGCGCGCTCCCCGCTCACATCGCTACCCATGGCCACAAATCGACCCAGCACGCGACGACGAAGCGCGAAGCAAGCCTTCGACGATGACGATGCGCCCGCGCCAAAGAGGGTGAAGGCCGAATTGAACGGCACCAGCAAGAAGGCCACCACCACAACAACGAAGAAGACTACCAAGGTCGCGTACGACGAGAACGACGATGGCTTCCAGTTCTCGCGGCGCACAACGCGCAAGACCACAAAGGCGCAAGCTGTGCCTTTACAAGAAAGCATACCTGAGGACAAGGTTGCAAAGCCGACGCGACGGAGGGAGATCCTGCGCTCATCGCCGGAACCAGCACCCGTAAAAGCGCCAGCACGACGCAAGAAATCAATCGCGACCGTTGATCCGGAGTCTTCAGACACACAGAGTCGAAGACGCTCGGCGCGTATATCTGGCGACAGAAATAACTTGGAAATTCGGCAAAAATCTGTAGAACCTCTTCTACCCAAGCGCACGGGCAGGAAGCCACCCGCAGAACCGCAGAAAAAGAAACAGAAGCAGGTCACTCCAACACCGGAAGAGCAACCAGCACATGCGTTTGCAGGCGCACAAACACCGAATCAGCAAGATATCAATGCTGTGAAGGAGCGCGATCCCAACGCGAAGCGCATTATGCTTCCTTTCGCGGACACACCGGTCATTACACGGAACAAGGAGATGCGCAAAGGCAATAAGGATGGGCACAGGCGGAGCAGCACAGGCCTGCGTGGCAGAAGGGCAAGCTCGCTGATCGACAGCGGCATGTCGAATGGTGAGTAAACTGTTCAACCAAAGATCATTCCGTGGCATGCGGACGAAGCTAATTGATGCGCAGCTTTACCACACTCAGCAATCGAGGTCGCAGACTACTACAAGTACATTGAGCAAAGCTTGCCCGAGCCAAGGCGAATGAAACAGCTCCTCACATGGTGCGGGTCACAGGCGCTGCGGGAAAAGCCATCAGGCGATGTTAAGAACGCCAATGCCATAATGGCTGCACGAGCGATACAACAGGAGCTTATAGACGACTTTGCGAACCGACCAGAGCTATCAGATTGGTTCAGCAGAGAGGAGACAGCTGCACCGCCGGTTGTCAAGAAGCCGAATCCAACGAACGAGAAGAACAAGATCACACTGCAGGAATTGGAAGAGGAAGTTAAAAGGTATGGATCCGTAACTTCTGATGTTAAGCAATAGCACTAACGTTCGAACAGACTCGAAGAGGAGAAAGCCGCCTGGGAAAGCTTAGACAAATTAGCACCATCCATGCCTCCACCAGCAGATTCATCGAACGACACACCGGCAGTCACACTGGCGGACATTGACACATCGCTTCTCGACCCAGCGCAAGCTCTGATACTCTCGAAATTACAACTTCCACCACCGCAGACCGAAGAGCAGCCACCTTCCACCGCCTCTACATTTACGTTTACGACTCCCTCCGCACTACATTCACATCTCAGCAAACTCAGCCAATCGCTCGAACCCAACATCGACATCTTCGCAGATGGTGTACATAAGATCGAGCAGTACCGTAACACAGCCGAACGGGTCGCAGATCGCGTACTCGGCACAGCAGCAAAGAGGTTGGAAGAACGTGACCGCGAGGTCAAGGAACGAGCTGGCGCGGACGGCATCGGCGTTGGCGATGTGCTGAGAGGATTGGCGGGTGTCCTGGGAGAGTCGTGAGAGCATAATCAATCTCATCTTGAGATTTTATGCTCATCATTGACACTGAACTAGGCGAAAGCCGAACGAAACCCTGCCTGCCGTCCCCACAGAATGGACACTTCCGAAGGTGCTCCCACCAGGGACCTACACATTCGAATTGGAGTCCGGTTTTCGCGAGTTTTGGACTGCCTGTATGGCACGCTCGCCTTGCAGGTTGCGAGACTTGTAGTTGGACCAGCGACTGTCTCGGCGAACGGCGAACAGCGAACAGTGATAAGAGCCATGCTGGACATCGAGAGACCAGACTTGCAGGCCGGGCGGAGGACCTTGCAGGACAGCTAACAGGACGCATTGAATGGAGAGAAGACGAACAAGCACAGCAGATGCTATCTTACGGACTTCAGGACCGATAGTGTGTATATCAAGCATGGTGTTGGGGAGGCATTCGCTCAGCGAATGTTTTGTGTTTTAGCGTTTACGACAGCTTCTTTGTACACATCACCAATCGACAAATTCTCAAGACCATACTCAGCCCGACAAGCACTAATGCGTGAACAACTGCCATTCCTTTCATGAACCACTCAAATAACTTTCACTACGTGACCAACCAACCCCTCCATCTCACGCCTTCCGCAGCACAATACCAAACCACACCTTGCACCCAATCCACTTCCTACCCCTTTTCCCCACCACCCCACTCCTTACATCCTCCTCCTCCATACTCCTCTCCTTAGCCTCCACCAACTGCAGTCCCGCATCTTGCGCCGCTTGAACCGCCTCAGCCAAACTGTACACGAAGCTCTCGCCCCTGACCTTGACGCCCTGCGCGTTCACGAATCCGGCTTGCGACCGCGAACCCATCTCCGAGTGCATGTTTGTTACTAGCGCGACTCCGCCGGGCGCAAGGAGGGATGTGAGTGTGCTGAAGTAGGTTGGCAATGGGATGTGCTCGAGGACTAGGGTTGAGGTGACGAGGTTTTGGGGTGGGAGGGCAATGGTAGATGGAGTGAAATCGTTGGATGTGGGGAAAGGGTCGCATTGCTCAAGTCTTAAGCTCACGGCCTTATTGGATTCTGTGAGGGCGGAGAGTTTCGTGCGTGCGAGTGCAAGCATACCGGCGCTGAAGTCGAGACCTGTGACTGCTACGATCGTGTCCGCTGGCCAGGAGTGAGATAGAAGGCGCGCGGTGTTGCGGCCTGTTCCGCAGCCGAGGTCAAGGACGGAGATGCTGGGGCCAGAGGTTGTGGCGATCTGGTTTAGGAGGGAGGGAAGGAGGGTGTTGAGTTCGTCGTCGTCGATAGATTGGAGCATGTTTCCGTCCGAGTCGTAGACTGAGGCCCATTGATCGTATGCATCTTGGGTTCCGATGTGCTGCACCGGTGTGGACGTCTTTGGTGGGACAAGTTGAGATGATTGAGGGGTGGTCTGGTTGATATCTTGCGCCAGTGGGCTTGGTGCCGAGGGTTGAACCTTCTGGGTCGCTGTAGACATGCCAGCGTCTGAAGGGTCGGATTCGGTGGTCGAGAAGGAGACGTTGGGGTTGAGGTCCACAATTGATGTGTCGAATGTTGTGTTGACGGATGGCTGGGTCATCTTGAATTACTTCTGCAGATTTCCAAACCTTGTTCCAAGTGCGAGCGTTGGTGGTCGAGACTATGTTGGATCGACAATCTTGATATTGATGTCGGTGAAGGAGGCCGCACCAATTGACTGGCTCAGAAGTGGCTTCGATGAGGGCTATAATGCGAAAGGTCGATGCCTTGTATTCTGAGGCGATCCTGAGCGGTCTATGTATTTACTGCATGCGCCCTCTGTACATCGCTTCTTCCCGATTAGGAAACATGTCAAGCAGGCATGCGGAGCGTGACTCAGACGCGCATGTTTGGTACGCGCTAGAAAACGTGACCACGCGACAAAATTTGATCCCAAGTTCGCGTCACGTGTGAAATGGGACTGAAGTCGTGCCCTGTCTGCATCGCGTTTATGCATGTGCTCGTACGCTCCTAGCTCGCTCACGATGCTGGTGATGCGCATTCTTCCACTCCTCAAGCTCCAATGTTGTACAGGTGGTTTACAGGTTGGAACCAGCCAACTTCTTCTGATATGCCAGCAATTACGAAATGTCAGGGAAGTACTGTCCCAAGATCTTGTTCCGGTGCGCAACCAGGTGCTGCCGCGTTATTAGTGCATCGCGCAGTCGTGCGTCTAGCCAGCCTTTGCCAAGCCCATCGTCCAGTAGCAGGTGGGTGTACGCAAAGACGCTGGCATCGAACAGGCCAGGGTTTTCTGCACCAAAGAACCATTCATTGTCTCCAAGGAGCGAATCAAGCGCGGTAAACGCCTCTTCTGCTTGGTTGTATACTGTCTCCGCGCTGACGATTGCCGAGAATTTGAGTAGCTCCTTTTCGGCAGCAAGACGTAGCTCTCGCGCTATTGTAAGGCGGACGAAGGGATTGCTAGATGTAGGGAGGATGTAGAGCGGCTCGGCGATAGAAGTGAAGTTGTGTGAGAGGTAGATGCTGTAGAGCTAGGAGTCTTTAGCTTTGGCTTCTTCAAGGCGGCCGATGTGTCGACTTACCCATGCTCTTCGTATGCGGTGGTCGAGAAGTGACGAGTATGCTTCGTAGCGGAGATCTCCCGATTCTTCGCTCGCTGTCTCACTGTTGTTCATGGTCCATCGTTGTAGCTTGCCAGACGGTACTGGTTGTACAGGCTTGAGAGTGTCCGGCTGCGTGGGAAGGAGGAACGGGAGAGCTCCACTTGGCGAAGCATGATTACTCGAAGCTGCCACTCGGAATTCGATGTTTGAGAACTTGAGATATGCCTAGAAGAACGTGAGCTAGGACCAAGCAGCGTAGATTGCCCATGTGCTCGTACCTGCCACTTCAAGCATGCGGGATTGTACGATGGCGCGCCTCTCAGCGCACCTTCATTCGTAGTGAAAATATGTAAGACAGGTGCGTTGCGATGCTGCGGCGCGCGTTGCGGAAGATCGTTTATGGGGTATGTGAGCAGTGGGAATCTGTCGAACAGCTGTTTGATGGGCGTCGGCACGTTGAATATACTGCGTGATAGAGGCTGTTGCGGTCTTCGCCTCGTCGAAGCCTCTGTGTTGTCGTTTTCTTGTGACATCATTATACAATGGCGTTGCGCGAATGGCTTGTGGTGTCGATGTCGCAAAAGTCGGTGATGCTGCTCGGAGGAGAGCTTGCTCGCCTGCACTTGCCGTTCCTGAGCCGGCCCTCTCTTTGTCCAAACGTCATCAACCGGCTTGAGCTCCCAATCTTCCACTATCATCACCCGTCTTAACGGCCAATTCATTGAATATGACAATAACTACGACACTGGACTGACTCAAGCATCCCCAGCAAGCCCTTGTGATTGTTGCATTGCGTCTCTCACCACAGCGAACTGTCGTGGAAATTTTTCTGTACCCGGGAGGCTGCGTGCTCTCCGTCCTGAGTCAGAGTCCAGGCATGGAGTCAGTCGAATAAGGTAACTAGCAATGGCAACTGTGGACAATGAGTTTAATTAGCTCGTAGGAACGGCAGTAATGGCATCCTGACTGCTTCTACGTGCTCCAATGTCTTTACCCTTGAAAACGTGATCGTAGGCTCCCTAATAAGGTTCGAAGCATGCTGACACACTGGCATTTTATCTGGCTTAGCCGAAGACTGAGGACTAGTAGCTGTACTTTTTACTTTTATGTACTCTGTAATCTAGACAGATACAGGACTATATGTGCACTCTTGGACCGCTTGCTTCGCTCAAATATACAATACACACCGAACTCCAAAATCTACGTTCGCCAAACGCCAACGGCTCCAGGCACACGCAAATCCAATCCCAACCAGGTATACACCTAATCCCAGCCAGATGCTCAGCAGTCCTCAACCGACAGGACCGAGTGGAATGCTCGCCTGTGGCTCCCACCCGCTTTGTCCGTAACACGAATACATGGGGTCTTGGTACCCTGTCCAACCGACGCACTTCCAGCACTGGAAAAGCGCACTCGGATCGTACTGCTTCTTGACCTTAAGCAGACGGTCGTAGTTACTCCCAAAGAACGTCTGCTGCCAGTTCTCCTCCATCCAATCCCCCTCATTAACATAGCATCCACCGCCCGGCGTAAGCGCCTTAAATGGCTGTATAGATGCGCTAATAGTATTTTGCATCTGCGTGCGCTGCGCAGACGTGTTAGACGCAGTCCACCCACCGCCCATGATGACGTGCCACAGGCTATCTCTCCACAGAGGATGCGCGCTGGTGGCGTGCCCGTCGGGGTGGTTTGCGGGGCCGGTGGAGTAGAGCTGTGCGCTGCCGGAGCCGCGGTTGGAGGCAGAGAGTTGCATGGCGGTTAGGACGGCGGAGGTGAGGTTGTCGATGTCGCTGGGCGTGGAGAAGAGCGATTTAGGGATGAAGCGGCCGGATTCGGAGAGGCCGAGGCCGACGGGGCCGTTGCGGGCGATGCAGGGTTGCTCGGTGAAGGCGTGCCAGTCGGAGAACTTGGAGAAGGTGTGGTAGGAGTTGTTAGAGATCTTGATGTCGGGGTAGGAGGCGAGGAAGTCGTGGTACTGCTTAGTGACGGTCTTGATGGCTGAGGTGTCGGTTGAGGGCATGATGTGCAGGGATACCATGTGATCTGGTAAGATGAAGTTGTAGCCTGCAATGCCTTTCTTGGAGAAGAGTGTCTGGTTGGACGCCAAGGCGCTGACGATGTCACGGAGAACCTTTGACTCTGTGATGTCGGCGGACGCGGGCCAGTGGGCCCGGAAGAAGTGTACGTTCAGCGGCACGGCTGCATGTAGCTGGAACTTGTATGAGGTCAGGACGGCGTAATTGCCGCCTCCGCCTCCTCGCATGGCCCAAAACAGGTCTGGGTCGGTACATTCGTTGATGATTCGCTTCTGGCCATCTGCGGTAACAACGTCAAACTCGACTGCTTGGTCGACCATCAGGCCGTAAGAAGGAGCAAGCGGGCCATGGCCACCTCCCTGTCCGAACCCACCTGCGATACCCACAGAGCCAACGGCACCGACGGTGACGAGCATATCCAGGGGCTCGAAGAACTCCCATGCTTCTTGTGCCTGGGTACCGGCACCTACTTCTCCAATGTTCTCATATTGTGTCTTACATCCTTGAGGCTGGAAGTTCTTGTGGTACTTTGCATCCTTCATGTGGTGTGTCCAGATGCCGAGGGAGTTCGCTGAGCTCGATCGTCCGAAGTAGTCGTGGCCTGTGTTCTTGATCGAGACGCGGATGCCGTGCTGGCGAACGAAGTCCAAAGTCTTGCTGATGTCGTTGGCTGTGTGCGCTTCGACATGATATGTTGACAGTCTGCCGAGTCCACATGTGCCGTATGTGGGTGATGAGGGATGCATAGAGTCTAGGTAACAGTGGGACTGGCCGCAAGTCTCCCAGTCAAGGAACTCCATTGAACCGTACTGTGCGGTCCGGGAGATACCATCCATGTATCCCTTCCTGACTTGCTGACATTGCTTGCTTGACGGGTCCGAGTAGCATGTTGAAGCCCACGGGACGGTCAACCTGAGGTTGCCGTCAATGCTCTGGTTGAAGGCAGTCCATTGACCCTCGGATGGCCAACAAGGTTGTCCTGGTATGCAGGAGTAATTCAGCGCAGCGGTCGGCGTTTCGACGATTGGTGACTGTACAGTCGTATTTGTTTTTGTACGTGTGTATGACCTGAAGGCGCCATGGAACTCATACACTGCGGTGCAGAAGAAGTATAGACCTAAAGCGGATGCACATAAGAGCGCAAACTTCCTGGGCATCGGCTCTCTTTTAGCCGGACTTTGTGATGCTGTAGGTCGTTGTTCGATGTCCACATACTTCTCGTTCAACAGCGGCTCATGCTCGTGTAGAGCCATCATGGTGGGGCCCAATAGTCAACGATGCGGGTAGCTGTGTTTCCGTTCAAGGTTGAGGAACTCTTCTTGTTTTGTATGAGTGCGCGCAACAGAGGGAGATAGGACTGGGGCTTGTTGTCTTGCGCTGGATGCTGAGGTGGGATTGAGAGGTTAAAGCAACAATTGAAGAATAAGAAGGTGCGGCACGATGATAAGATGAAAGTCTAGGAGAGGCCGTTTGCAATTACTGACCAATTGGCAACAGCCATTCGATACTCTAAATAAGTCTCGCAGCTCCGTTGACTAGTTCGCGGTATGCCGTATATGGCAAATGCACGATGGCTGACATGAACGCTCAGCCTCAGCCCCAACTGCAAGGCACCAATTGCAGGCGCAAAATCCATTGAGACTAATTGTCCTATCGTTGCCTTCTGTGCAACACGAGAATAAAGACGCAAGGCAACGACTTCGAGTCTTCCATGATGAAATATGGTTTTGCTCTCTCGTGGCAAACCGATGCCGCGGTTCGTGGTTCGTGGTGCAGGACGAGCCGCGATGTTGAGGGATCCCGCTCGTTCGGGTCAGCATCGCTTAGCGTTCGGTCTTCCGCTTGGCTGCAGTCAAAACGGCCCCAATCGCCGTCGATGCAAGGCACACTCGCGTGCAGAACCCTGGCTGCGCCCTCTGTGGAGGACTAAATCTGGTGATGACCTCGTGTCCTTTAGGAATCGTTCCCCCACCCGCATCAGACAATAGTGACCTCGGGCAGGCTGCGACTGCCCCTTAAGTGCAGGTTCAGCGTCAATTGTGATGTCAATCACGAAGTTGCCTACATTAGTGCAGCTGTCAATGCTTCCACTGCGGCGCGCGACCTTTGCCTTTCTCCTCGGTGGTCCCTTCATTGCCCCACTAGGAAGCCTATGTTTTCATCTCGAGAGAGAAATGACACCCTGCCCATCCTGCAATGGTCTGGCCTGGTGTAAGGACCGCTGAAGTCCTCGAGCAAGCTACCATGCAGGGTCAAACCGCCGTCCGCAACGAACGTAAAAGCGGCACTCCCTAAAGGTCACACCTCAGAAGAAGTCAAACTTATTCCACCATATGTAGACAATCACGGCAACAACATTGGCTGCTGCATACGGAAGGCTCATCTCGATAACACTCCAGACCCACAGGGCGCCGAGTGGTGGTGCCGCCTTCATCACGTAGAAGTAGCCGTATGTGTTTGCCGAATAGATGATGTAGCAGCCAGCTGCAATAGAGCCAACCAAGAATGCAAGGTTGCGCAGTACAGGGAATCGATACGAGAACTCGACGTGGGTGAGGTACACCAGAATGGCGAAGATAGGTGAAGCAGTGGCGGCGCGCTTAAAGATCTCGTCCCAGAGTATAGCCTCGCGGTATTGGTTGTAGACGATGACATCGAGTGTGAGGTGCAGCGCGGTCATGGAGATCGCGTAGAGGATGGCATCGCCCACAGCTCCAACCGGCTCATTCAGAGCTTCCTGTACCTCTACGATTCTGCTCTTTGGCTTCGCTGCATCGAGCTCTCGCTGTCGCTCATCTGCCAGCTCGAACAGTGTCTTGCCCTTCGGCCCAGCGCGGTCTGGGTGCTTCAGGATGTTCTTGACGCTCTCTTCGTCGAGCTCGGTGGTGGGATCGAGCGGGTGTGGAGTCGTCTTGTTTGCTTCTTTTGCTCGACGCTCTTTGCGGTTGCCAGCGGCCATGGTGTGTATATATATGTGTGATATTCGCGTTGTTTGTTTGGTGTCGTGTGAGAGGACAAATGTTCAGTGCGGCTCTGCCTGCGGGAGAGGACCCTGGATGACGGCATGGTCCATGCTCCTTCCACAGCTCCGGACCTCCTCCCTTCCATACATCGACTTTCCATGGAGATGCTACCGGTCCTCCCTTCCATAGCTTGACCATTTTCACACACTTCTTTTCACACACTTCTTTTCACACGCTTCTTGTCACACACTCACAATGAACTGGCTTGTCGTGGGCTCTGTGCCCCTTATCATTGTTGGCTTCTGGCTCTACACGAGTACCTTGAGCTTATCCTTCCCCGCACTGCAGAACAAGCGCATCCTGTTGCTCATCGCTCATCCTGATGATGAAGCAATGTTCTTTGCACCTACTTTGCTGTCTTTGACGCGTCCAGAACTCGGCAATCACGTGAAGATCTTATGTTTGAGCAGTGGTATACGCGCTCAAAGACGTGTACTCAAGCACACGCTAATTATGAAATGCAGGCGACGCAGATGGTCTGGGTGAGACGCGTAAGAAAGAGCTGGTTAAGAGCGGTCTGCAGCTCGGTATTGGCAACAAAGACGACATTCACGTCATCGAAGACAAGTCAGTATCATACCGCAGATCATCGGATCACTAACTAACTGTGTCAAAGGAATTTTCCTGACTCCATGACCGTGACATGGCACCCTCGTCTGATCTCTAACCTTCTGACGGCAACGTTTGCCCCAAAGATGTCCTCGATTTCAGCCAAGGAAGCCCCACAAGCCAACATCGATGCTATCATCACTTTTGACGCCCATGGGGTCTCTGGTCACCCGAACCATAAGTCGCTCTACGATGGCGCACATACTTTCCTGAAGGCGCTTATGCATAGACATAGTGGCTGGGAATGTCCCATCAAGCTCTACGCGTTGACCACGACCTCGATCTTCCGGAAATACGCAAGCTTGCTGGACGCTCCTGCTACTTTGATAACTGCCATCGCCAGGAAGAAGGAGCTTGGCAACTTCCCAACGCCACTACTGTTCGTTAGCTCTCCATTTGCGTACAGGACCGCCCAGAAGGCTATGACAACGGCACACGAGAGTCAGATGCGCTGGTTCCGTTGGGGCTGGATTACCTTCGCACGCTACATGATCATCAACGACTTGAAGAAAGAGAAGACCTTGTGAAGTATCTCTGCAATTTTGAGAGTCAAAAGGGTCAACACTGTATCACAATCGTACCTAGAGCCTTTTTCGCCGTCCGTCGTCCACGCAAGGGGCACTGTGGATGATGACGAGGCTTGGTCCAGAACGCTGTACCACTCTTCACCATCCGGCCTCCACGATTGCGCAAAACAGCCATATCCAGGAAGGTATCGCTGCGTGGCTGCCCTAGCACATGTCTAGCGATAGCGTTTGGCGGTGATGCGACTAGTCGACGGGCGTTCGTTAACACATATACTACAGTTGTAAGAGCTGTTTGATTCTCTTGCCGCGCATAAAGTCCTCTGGCTTTTCGAGCAGAAGATTGTGCTGTGGCACATTCACGGACCTCAATCCCTTACCCATACTTCACACACGCTGCTAAGTGTTGCATACAACAGACATCGTAGGTGAATATCGACATGACAGCTTCCAAACAACATGGGCCTGCGACTCCGGTTATCAATGAGCCTGCGCCTCGGCGACCAAAGACTCTGCTCCAGCGTCTATCGTCAGGAATAATACATGTCTTACCTTCTTTGCGTACGTCGACTCCGAAGAACGACCTGATCATTCGCCCAACAACAGCACCGAACCAAGCCTCGAAGTGTGTAAGGAGAGAGGCGATCGTTGCTGATAGTGAGCAGCTACTCGTACCCCAACTTGAGGTCACTACCACTGGCGAAGTCGAGCAGCCCTGTCCCTACGACCCTAAGTCGTATCACTCCTTTGCAAGTATTGAGAAGCGGCGTTGCGGTTTTTGCGGTATGCGAGGGCCAAAAATAGTGCATAACGAACCATGTCGCGCCTGTACGACTGGTGGCCCGGGCTCGCACATCTCATCTGCTCGCAAGCATGCAAATCCTCACAGAAGACACTCTGCAATTGACGCACGTCACCTTGCTCATCTCGCAGATAGCAGTTCCTCGGTCCTTCTAGGGCCGCGTCCTGTCACTCCCGAACGTGCTGCAAAGAGAATCGGTAACCCGCCCAGGGTTTCGAGGCTTCCTCCTGGGATCATTCGTTTGCCTGCGGCGAATACAATTAATGCCCACCAACATCGAGAGCCAGTTACAAGACCGCCGTCCAGGTTGGGCACAACATCTCCTGATGGTCGGAGACATAATGCATTCGCATACAACGCCGCGAGCAGTTGTACAGAGGGAACAATGAAGAAGCCTGCCAGTCCAAAGTTACATCATCTGCATGGCCTGCCAAACTCAGAGAACTTTCCATTCGTTCACAAGCATGAGATCCCGAAGCATGCAATCGCTATCCGTGCCGGATCCACAAGTCCTTTGACCGACCAAAGCAACAGTCCCAGGACCTCTCCAAGCAAGCGTGGATCATCCGACTACTCAAACACTGTCTACTATGGTGGCAGAAAGTCATCCTTTCCTGCGAGCCGAGCTGCTACTCCAAAGCCGCATGTTACCACAGTCGTTGTGAAGCAGGTACAAGCAAGTGGAAGTGCAGTCATTGATCTTCAAGCATCACCCTTGGACATTGCGCTGGCCGGGAGTGAGGTATACAGGAAGCGCTCCCCGCAGCAAATACCGCCAACAAAACCTTCGCAAGCGTTGGTAGATGTCACTGACAGTGGGACTACCTTTGGCAGCCAAGATACCGGGAGCACTAAGATTGGCGGCATGCGTCTTGAGCTCAAAGGCGGGAATCCCTTCGGTAAAGAGATACCAAGGCTCAGAGGCGGCAGTGGCCGTGAAGGGTTATCTACAAATTCTTTCAGCTTCAAGCTCAAGAAATGGATCCTGACCTGCCATGGCCCTTGTCCGGACTACATCGATACCGACAGTGATGCCGATCTACCTCCGCCTCGTGTTGTAACACCAGAGAGAGTGGCGAGGATGAAGCAGAAGATGAACGGACGTGCACCTCTTCCTGCACATATCTCGAGAGGAACACAGCCAGCATCTTCTGTGAGAAGTGTTCGACCAGGTACTGAAGGCCTCCAACTCCCTACAACATTCACAACTACCATCTCCGGACCTCCAAAGCGCTCCTCATTCTTCCGCCTCTCCACGCTCAGCCTTCCAGCATCTTTTCGCCGCCGATCTGAATCGCCTCTCAACCAAACCGCACCTCTCGTCCCATCTCAAGTCCTCATCCCATCCTTCCCGCACCTACGAGGTGGCGCTGAACCACCAGATCGAATCCCGCCTACACTATTTTGGCTTGCTGGCGGAAAGGGCAAGCCTATCAGTTTCAGCGGTTGGAAGCAATCCCGCCCGAAGCAACGGATGGGGGGTCTGTTTGGAATGGCAGTGTTTGGAGACAAACACGGGAAAGAGTACGGTCTCGAAGCCGGTGGGGCGGATGAGGTGTTCGTCTCGTGCTCAGCAAGCATCAAGGTGATCGTGGATGATGCCGGGAGCGTGAAGTCGGCGAAAGCCGGGGCTGATGCGTCGAGTTCAAGTTCCATTTCGAGCGCATCATTGGTGGCTGAGCCGGTGAAAGGTGTTCCTGCAGGCGCGGAGGATGCTGTACCTGCTGGAGATGGCGAACCCGTGCAGCGTGCACTCACACCACCGCCTGATGTGCCAACGGACGATGTACCACTATGCAGTGGTGCATTACCTGTGGAGCCCGTCGTAGTTCCCCCCGGCGACGGTGCCACTCCATCTCTGCCGGGTGGTGGTAGTGATAAGAAGGACCCCGTTGTCGACTCGGGAGCACAGAAGGAATCAGGCGCTTGAAGACGTGGTGCGGGCACAGATGAAGCCCAATGAAATGTGTTTGGGTTTGCTACGATGGGCTTCGGCGTTTCGATCGACTGATATTTTGTTCCGGTAGTTTCCTAGGCTATGTTAATTCTCATAGACGTTATTACAAACATATATCCGCTCACCTCTACGGGAACCTTGAGGATTAAGATGGTAGTATTCCACTATCCGATTCTGCATGGACTAGCCGACAATTTCAGCGAGTATATTGAAGTTCTAGTGAAGTACTACTGGCACTTGGAGACTACAGCGCCTCGAGATGCTGATAACACTCAATAAACGCGTCGGTTGCGCTAAAAGCTGTGTTTGATTAATGGATGCGCAAGGCTGAGCGGCCTGTCCGAATCCAATGCACGGCCTACTCTTCGCACTTCTAGCTCTGTCATCCGCACCACAGAGCCCTAAACATCATCTCATGACTTGGCATTTTCCTTGATTAGCAAGGCTGAGCTGAGCACCCTACCATCAATGTCCGTGGACCAAATGACTACAAAACCAGCCAGTAGAACAATTTCTCACCCACACTCGGAGGATAATCGAGTGCATTCGTCATGTCTCAGCGAACCGTCCAATACCGACAGCCTTGTCATGGTTCGGCGCTAATGGAAACGGTATACGACTACCAATCGATACACAAAAATGAGCAGTCCTTCAAGTGTTGGCAACGCTCCTGATCATACCTTGACTATTTGCTTCTGTCGTAATCTTAGGAGAAAACGACCTAGAAGCCATGGCGACGGTCTGGGAAGCACTCATCGCGGATGACGGTCCGCTGCCGTACACTCACCTGTCCAAATCACTGACGTATTGCAACGTTGCCGTAACTAAACTGCGCCGTAGCGACGAGGTCGAGGTGAACTTTGATGCATTGGTTTGAGCCAGCCGTTTAGTCCTTCGCGCTGTAGTATGAACTCCCCTTTTACAACTTCACTGCCCACATGGGTCCCCGATGGAACTGACGACGTAATGATGGTAGAAAAACATGGCAACTGATATTGAAGAAAATGGAAGAAGAGAGTAAATGCTTTGTAACATTTCCATTCGTGCTTGCGACACATTGCGATTCATTTTGATGGTTGCGCGAGGCTGAGCAGCCTGCGAGCGTCTGTTCAGAACCTGTCTTTCGCCTGATCATCTGAATTACACAACCCTAAATATCACTCCAAAGCTACGATATGTATCGCGTACAAATTTAAATCATTCACTGTTCAATTTTTGCGCTTCAATGAGGACAAGACATAAAATGGTTGGCAAAATGTGCGGAACCTGGTATACTAAGCGCCGGGATGCGGAGACGCTCGTTTCCGACAGCTGCCAGGTGTCAGTAAAGGGGTAGTCAGGGGAAATAAAGGCTCTGTTTCCCTAATATGTCTGCAGATTTTGATCTATAGTAATATATGTGACGTTATCACCTATCTGTGGCCTTTGCGAGAGGCTACGAATGTCTGGTTTAGGGGCTATAAAGATATGGGTCAGGCTCTAAAGGCATGTATATGTACGACTACTTCCCTCACCACTCTTTATGGGTACTCTGGCCACTTAGAGTGCATTTGTGACAGGGGATTAGGGAGATTCACTAACTCGCCTGTACTGTAGAACCATGTCTTGAATGTGATACCTGACCAGCAACCACCTCGCTCAGTTTTGGTTCTCTCACCTGCAGCGAAATGACCTGTGGAGATGCCACCATGTCCCATTGCTCCTCGGCTCACGAAGTGAGAGTAACATATCGTGCGATGGACTTCGTTGGTTTCTTACAGCCATCGATCGAATAAATATCTCCGGTGTACCTACCATATCCTTTCATTTAAGTATAAATCTTTACCATACTGCCGAAGATGACGACGAAACCCGTACGCCTCTAACTCCCACTGAAGGTACTCGCTCACATCCGAACCCTCGAGCTGCTTCGGCACCTCCAAAACGAACTGTTAAGGCTATCATGCGAACTGCTGCCTGCAAATGGAGACAAATCGCTGGGTTAGTGCTGTACGTTGCTAAGTCAATTCATTACTGGCCTTTTCGCAGACGATCTGGTCTTCCTCCTCAACAGCTCTCTTCCTCTACACCATGACCCTATGACTGCTTTCTGCGACCCGTCGGCTCTGCGATCATGGGTCCGAATCCATCTTCAATACTTCGGCGACAACGAAGATTGAGGTCCGCAACCTCGGTGTCGTGATAGGATACAATCACAACAGCTGCTTCGCGCAGCTCCATTATGGTGATGTCGCACTGATCGACGTTCGAGACTCAAACTGCATGCGGGAGGAAAAGTGTAAGCAAAGTCTCAGATGGTTCTGCGAGGAGGTGGATTTCCTAGCATGCGAGTTCAGAGCAAGAGAAAGCGCCGCGGCAGAGATACTCAGGCAGAAGGCTGCAACAAACCTAAAGTCGAGGATCGTGAAATTAAAAGCAGGCAAGAGGAAACTGGTTACTGAGAAGAAGGTAGAGTGTGGTAATGCGAAGAAGTGGAAAAGATTGAGGCTGCCATTGAGGCTGTGGAATGATGCGGTAGTCGATGGGTGAAGGATGGAGGTGATGCGGAGGTCTTGAGCGTGTCAACATAGAGACGGCGTCTGGGTGCTATCGACATGAAACTTCTTCTGGCGGTCGAGTACAACATCTGAACCGTTTGTTGGCGTAGTAGTTGTTCGCCAGCGGTCCGTTGCAGTATTTGCTAACGGTCCGCTGCACTGATTGTCCAGCTCATTCGGTTAGCTCGGGTTTGCTTCCATACTATTCCCTTCTACTATATAGTCCCGATCGATCCTCGCCATAGCTCAAAAAGATCAATCAATACTCCCAACCCTTCCACAGTAGTCACCTATTTTCGGAGGCAGAGTACGAAGGAGCTCGTTTTTAGTGAGTGGTCAAAGCTCGGCATCCCCATCTGATCTTTCTTATCCGGCATCTATTCTCAGGGTCAGCCCCTTACAAAGAGTACGATGAAGGTGTCAAGAAAGATCAGAATCTTAAGTACTCTCAATTACAGTTCTATGGCGCATTTGCTTACAATGCAAAAGACCCTTGCGTTATATATGAATGTGAGACCAAGGCAGAGAAGCAAGCCGCCAAACAGGCGCTTGAGAAGGAGAATGAAGAACGGAAAGAAGTGGCCGTGAAGGAGCACAAGCAGAAGCGTTCCGCACTGAAGGCCTTGAAGCCAACCCAACTCAACGAGGTGCAAAAAGAAGAGCACGTGTCAGCACTTTGATCACATAAGCACGCTTTTACCAAAAAAGATAAATATACTCATGGGAAGCGGCTGCGTGGAGGCATCGATGGTTATTGGCACCGTGAGATGGCACTAAAGGTGCTTGTCCCATGGATCAACCACCTGAAATAGCGAAGTAGGACAATTGTTCTACTTGAGGATAGTGCTCCTTCTCATACTTCACGGATTGCAACCAATTTTCTATGGGTATCTGATGTAGAGAAGCTGGGTTGGCCGGGTCATTCACCAGAGCTTAATGCATCCGAGCATGCCTGGCCATGGATCCGCCGCCACATCACCAAGGATTTTGACATCAGCAGAAGCGTAAGCTTGGCAAACACCACTCACTTAAAACAAGCTCCTTTGTAGGAGTCGTGGTTGTCTGCAGATCACTAGCGTTGACGTAGCCCGCGCCTTCCGTCAAAATTCTGATGATGCATGTCATCTGGCCATAGGATTCAGATGGCTGGCCATAGACTAATCTAATATAGGCTTAGTAGCTGATTAACCTCGCTGAATACAATTTAGCCTATCTAGGTTTGATGCATATAAGTGAAGCGTGTTAAGAACGTGTTTAGAACATGTTTGGAATGTACTTAGATCATCTAGAGTATTCTATATATTTCTTAAGTATTATCTATGCCTACTATGTAGCTTAGGTAAGGTTATTTAGTTAATATATATTATATAAAGCTACGTAAAGTATAGTAATCTTAGGTACAGCTATATAATTAGTTGTTCTACTAAAGCATGTTCTAAACACGTTCTAAATCCTTTCTAGACTTTACCTATTATAGCTGCACTTGGCCATAGACCTATGCGTTAATCCTTACATTTCTATGGCCACCTGCCTATCTAGGTTAGTCTATGACTGTCCCACAAAATCCTATGGCCGGATGATGTGAGTCCTCCGGAAACCCAACCTCCAACCCCATATCGAGTACCTCACTATTCTCGGGTCAAATCAACCGCAATCGAGGGCTTTTGATTAGTTCAATTCGCCCTACTTAGTACATATCGAACGTCCTCGCATAGCTGCGGCTTTACTGTGAGACCGGCATCCACCACCGATATCGGAACAGGATTCTGACTGCAAGTACGAAGTAGCAGGTGACTCCGAGCATTGATAAACAACTTGAAGTCACTCGATCAGACTTATAGCCATTGTCTGTTCCACAAGCATCGGAATTCACCTGACACCGCTCAACATGACGTTCACAATCCTCTCGGACAGCGACGTAAAATCCATCCTCTCCTCCCTCTCCCAATCCGACGTCTCGCACGTAGCAGACCTCTTCATCCAATCCCTAGTCCAATACTCCTGCTACAATGAAGCCCAATACCAGCCCGAGCGCGCCGTTATCAAACGAGGGGACCAAAGCAGCGTGTTCATGCCCGCAACAACGCCCCACCATATCGGCGTCAAAATTGTTGGGATATCGCAAGCCAAGCCCCCATCCCTGAATGAGAAGCCAAAACCTGGAATTCAAGCCACCCTGGCGATCTGCGACACCGAAGGCAAAGCGGTGGGCGTGTTGAATGCAGCGGAGATCACAGCGTTCAGGACTGCGCTGGGGAGTATTCTGTTGTACAGGTTGAGGAAGAGAACAGCGAACATCGTAGTCTTCGGTGCCGGCGCGCAAGCGCGATGGCATATACGACTCGCCCTGATTCTGCGGGGGGCAGACATCGAGAACATCACGATCGTGAACCGCAGTAAAGCGCGCGCAGACGAGCTCATTGCGGGGCTGAAAGAGACCGGTGTGCCGTCACACGTGCAGCTGCATGTTCGTGAAGAGGGGGAGAGTTTGGAAGATCTGGTCGTGGATGCGGATGTGATATTTTGCGGTGTTCCGTCTACGACACCACTTTTCCCGGCCAAGTTCTTGACGGGCGAGAAGGCGAGAGCGAAGACGAGGTACATTGCTGCAATCGGGAGCTACCGCCTCGATATGCAGGAAATCGACCCCGAGCTGCTCAAGAGTATTGCAGATCCGGCCGGCGTCTTCAAGGAGCAGGTGTGGCAGAGCAAGGTTGTAGTGGACAGTGCCGAAGGCTGCTTGGCTGAGGCGGGTGAGTTAGATAGGGCAGAAATTAGGAGGGAGGGTATGCTGGAGGTGGGCAAGATCCAGGACTTGAGGTCCAGTGAGAGCCCTGAGGGGTTGGAGCAGTGGCTCGCCGATGGCTTTGTGGTTTATAAGAGCGTGGGTTTCGGCATTATGGATATTGCGATTGGAAGCAAACTGCTCGAGTTGGCGAAGGAGAAGGGGAGAGGAGTATATTTGGATGACTTCTAGTGCAAGACGTTGTGCTTCCCAACCTATCTAGTGCAACGAGTGCTTACCAACCCCGTTCACCACGCCTTTCTGTTCTAACAGACATCCCGAGAAGGTTTTCTCCACGCCCGCTCCATCGTCCAACCCCAGAATCCTCGCAACGTACTGATCCGGTCGCACAATAACCACCGCACCTTTCTCCGGATCAACACCATACTTCTCGTACGCATATCCATGCCCAGCATTGTAGTGCTCGTCATCGATGTACGTCTTATGCAGATCCTTGATTCCCCACTTGCCAGTCTTAGGGCTAAAGACTTCTGGTACCTGACCCTGTTCAGTATCCTTGAAGCGTGTGCTCAGGACGAGTATAGGCTCGATAACGCTGTCGGGATGCGACGCAGCGGGCGTGAACCGCCGAATAGCGTGCTCGAGGGTCGTCGCGAACTGTTGGTATCGTCAGTACCCGGAGCAAACCACAGCAGAAAAGCGGTTGCACTCACCTTCTCCAACCTCTCCTTACTCTGCTTACTCCCCTTCTTCCCAATATCCCCCGCAAACACAACGACCCTCCACCTCCCATCACTTCGCATAACAGTCTGCAACTGCAGGGGCTTCGCATCGCAGAACCTGATGACTTGTGCGCTCGGAAACCGCATCCCCACCTTGACCCCCGTCGCTCCTCCCTCCTCACTGCCATTAAGATCTGTGACGATGGAGTCCTCATACCGCGCCGTAAAACCCGCCATATACCTCCCACTCTTCGTAAAATACTCCGCAAACTCGCCATCTATCTTTTCCTTTCTCGAGAACATTGCGCTGAGCTCTCTATCAAAGGCTATCAAATCTGCCGCAGTCTTACTCCTCTCCTGGACATAGCTCTCAAGTATGTTCGGGGGCGACAGCCCAGAGAGGACAGAGCCCAGTTTCCATCCTAAATTGTACCCGTCTTGCAAGGAGATATTCATGCCCTGCCCGGCTTTGGGAGAATGTGTGTGGCATGCGTCGCCGGTGAGGAAGATGCGCATGTCCTTGTGAAAGTTGTCCGCTAGGCGCTGGCCGATGGAGTATGCGCTCCACCAAAACGTCTCCGCAACGTCCATACTATACGGCGCAAAGATTGCGCGCGCGGCGTTTTGCAGGTCTTCAAGTTTTACATCCTTTGGCTGCGAGCCCGGGGGGAGCTGGATGTAGAAGCGCACGAGGCTGCCACCTTCGCGCGGGATGATGAGCAGATTGCCGCTGGTGGAGTGGATGGTGCATTTGCGTCGGATGTCGGGAAAACTGGTGAGTGGGTAGATATCCATGACGCCCCAGACGGTGTCGGTGGTGTCGCCGAGCATGTGGTAGTTGAGGGAGCGGCGGACGGTTGAGTGGGCGCCGTCGCAGCCCTGGGCGCGTTAGCAAGAATCATTGTATATGTGGTGGGAGGTGAAGTGCTTACTAGGACGTACTTCGCCTCCCATATTTCGCTTTTGGAGTCTTTGGAGGCAGAGACGCGGACGCAGTGTGCATCTGGGTCTGTGACGGTATTCTGATCGACTTCAATACCTGTCACAGTCCAACCGTACTCGATCCCATTCGCAGTCGCCTCTTTCCACACCCCTTTCTCTTTCATGATCTTCTCCATCTTCCCCAACATCAGCCCGTTCATCCTCGCCTGGTTCAATATGACATGCGGCAGATGGCTGAGCCCGCTCTCAGTGTCGATAGACCTGCTCTTCCTCTTGATACCGCCCTTGCCCTCATCGTCGATACCCCAGAAACACACTTCGTAGATGTGGTAGGCTTCTCTCAGCAGGTCCTCGGCGAGCCCAAAGGAGTCGTAGATCTCGACTGTCCGGACTTGGACGCCGTCTGCTTGCCCTATCTCCAGGGGCCCGGAGCGCCGTTCTAGAATTGTGAAGGGGATGTTGTAGGTGGCGAGCCAGGTTGCTGCGAATATGCCTGCTGAGCCAGACCCTACTATCAGGACGTCCGTCTTCGGCATGTTGGTCAACTCTATATATTTGGTGCTGTTTGGAGATGTAATGGAAAACGATGAGCTGAGGCAAGCAGTAGACTGTCAGCAGACTCGAGAAGCAGGATTGAGGAAGTATTGTTGTGTCGTCACCGGTCTGTCTCCAAATCAGGTCCCAGGAGCCTCATATATACTTTTGGCGAAGTCGAAGTTATGATACTGTGGTGTAAGCTCATCTCGGAAGGTCTCCGGACGGCAGGCGGAGAGCGTCCGTTAGCATGCATTGAACAGCTGCAGGTGCGGGAAGCCGAGCGCTGCTTTGCGACGGCAGATATGTACCATTGTACATACCTTCGGTGATCTCTATGGACTTGATCCTTTGGTGTCGGATGCTGTAAACGGCTGCTAAGATCGGTAAGTGTATGCATCAAGTGTGTTGCGCAATGCAAAGTGTAGGTGCACGATGTGCATGAAGAGCCGGACTTGACGTAGCACCTTGCTGTGTGGTAATTGATGCTGGAATTGTTGTCTAATAATGTTGTACATCGAAATGCTGTACGCTTGCGGTGCTGTCTGCACTCACTCGAACATGATCTTCTTGCCCTTGAGCAGCGTACCTCCCAACAGCTTGCCCACCGCATACCCAATATACGCACCTGTGACGATCGTGACGGGCCACTTCTGCCACTCGCGGTCCCTGAATAAGTCAGCATGTCATTTCTCGCCGATTTCAAAGCTTGTACTTACCAGTCCAAGGGGATAGGCACAGCGCCCAACCAAGCACCCAGCACCGTGCCAATCAAACCCCCATAGACCTCATCAATCGGCAGCAAAAGCGCCACAACCTCCCTCCACGTCTCGCCGCTGACGCCATGTGCATAGACCAGCGGCAGTGTGCTCAGCACCGCGATATGCGCGCCAGCCAAGAGCGTGTGCGTGTGGTGTGAGGTCACCGGAGCGCCGAACAGAACGAGCGTAGCGGTAAGGAGTGGCGTCGAAGCCAGGGTCGTGAGGAGTAGGGAGAGGAAAGCCGGCTATGCCATGTGTCAGTCCGTATTTTCTCGCACCTCCATTCATGAATATAGTGTCCCAACGTACCACAATCGTCCCATTGATGCCCCTCTCAATCGTGCTAGGCGCAGCCTTCTTCTTCTCGCCGCGCTTCTGTTTCTTGATCTGTGTGGAGCTCGTACCGCTCGTGGGCGGTAGGCAAACAGCTACAAATGCTATTTGTAGGACAGCGAGGGGGAGCAGTGTGCTCAGGAGCGCTGGGACAGGGTCGGCGACGAGATCCTTGAACTTATACGCGTAGAGCGAGAGCACAAGAATGGGATGGATATGCGTATAGATGCGCGCAACGTCGGTGTTGAGGGGCTCAATGGGCGTTGCGGGCGCTTTAGGTGCTGGAGCAGCGGGGATGCCGGTTGCGCTGGCCATTGTGTGCTGAACTGGAGAAAGATGCGGGTGCTGCGGAACACACTTTTCGAGTGAATTGAGAGTTTCAGTGGCTTAGTGAGAGGCCTCAGGGAGAATCAAAGGAGTGGAAGTGGCACCCGGCCGTGTTGTCGTTGTTTTAGTGTTGATGTCAAAGTTTTGGAGATGTTGTCCGTGCAGGGTTGACATCTAGCGCGAGCAATCACCGAGCACCTCGATGGTTTCACGATATCCATGCAAAGACGAGTAGAGACAGTGGTCGAACTGATTCGTGAGACTCTTGAACTTGTTCAGGCTTTTGGTTTTATTGCAAGAGTCTCAGGCAAGAGCAATCTTCGATATGCGTCCCTGCAAACCAACTACCATCTGCCATCTTGTAGGTGGTGCTTACCCCTTCTTAGGTAGCAAGTTCCTCAGCGAGAGATCGTACACAACATCCTCCACATCCTTGACCCTGTACTTGAGTCCATCACTACGGCGGCGCAAGCTGTCGTTCTTCAGGTTGAGGATCTGGAAGCCAGCAAACAGATCCTTAACGAACTGGTTGATCAGGATGGGACGCTCGTAGTCACCAAGTGTAACGGCATTACGTGCAAGTCGAGTCTATATTGATATTTAGTGAGCATGCCTTGAGACCAGGGGTGTTGTTGCGTACCAGTTCTTCGACGAGCGAGATGAGGGATTGCAGATACTCTTCGAGCGTGAGGTGGAACTCGTCTCGCTCCTTGAGGTTGACCGGGACTGTGTGATGTTAGTTCTTTGCTTCGTAGCTTGCTGGGAATTCCCTACTCTTCAGAATCTCGCCCAGCTCTTCGATAGTAAGTAAGCGCCCGGCTTTGATATCACCGCCGTCATACTTATAGCCGCCCAGCCAGCCCCAGAGAAGAAGGCCCTCTACCTGCCAGAATGTGAGTGACGCGCTTGAATGGAAGATGGAGGTGACGCACGGCGCTCTGCATCTGACGAGACCACATGTTGTTGAACTTGTAGTATGGCAGCTTTGATGCAGCCTGTGACAGCTTCGAGACATCATCGATGACAGTGTTTATAGACTCTTCTGCCGCCTTGAGGACTTCGCGGACTGCATAGTCGTGAGTAAGTGCATCTTTGCATGTTCGGTGAGCGACTAACGGTTGGCGACAGGGGTGGAGTGTGCTCTTGATAGTACGAACGAGACATTGCGGTCTGATATGCTTTAGCTAGTATTCTTCATCAATTTGAGATGTCTTACTGTGCTTCTCGAGAGCTTGGATGATGTCTTTCAGCTCCTGTCGCGTTATGAGTGCGTGTTCACGTGCAGCTTGCGGGGTGACCTCTCACATCACGGACAGCTGTGTCTTCGTCGACGCGCGCCTGGAGGTCCTGGAAGATGGCCGGATCGACCATGCCTGATTGCGAAGCCATTATAAATGTGCAGGTAGTTCAGCTCACAGTGAGCAAGGTGTTATAGCAGGCGAAGTTGGTGTTTGTTTGGGGCAGCAAACAGCGACGAAAATTTGAGCTTTCAACTGGCTCGCAACGTCACGACTCTAGGGAGGGCAGGCAGGCACTCGTACGACAGTTTGTCTCTGCTGTATCTTACTGCTGGCTACAAACAACTTCACGGTGTCTGCAAAAGCTTTCGCACGATCAATTGGCAGCTTTAGTCATGACGTACATTTCAGGGAAGCAAATATTAGGCACAAGACGCGTCGCAGTCACGTAATTTCGCGCTCAGCACAGCACACAACACCGTCGCAAGGTAAGCTTCTCTTCAAGCGACTAGCAAGGCAGTCATCTCAATGAAAAAGGGTCGCGTACACCGGAGGTAGTGAAGTACCGGCGACACTGTGCCAATGAGTATGAGCAAGCCCAGTGACCCAAAGGCAGGTTGCAAAAATAAGGATCTAAGCCAAAGTGTACGGAGCGAGGTCGCCCTATATCCACATTCAGCCATCCTACAGCCAACTGCCTTGCAATATGTACCTTCCAAAACCCGTCTTTGAAGTTCTAGCATTATTGAATTGATGCACGGCACTTCAGTATTAAGAATTCACTCTGCCAAAAGACCAAGTTGGCCTGTAAAAGACCTAAAATATCAGCAACAAGCATTTACAAGGATCGCAAGCAATTCGATATACCATATAGGCAAGTGTATCATTGGAACTCGATTCATGATTGCTGCTATTGCATGCAGGATTCCCCACATTTCGTAAACCAGAATTCAGAAACTGCAGAGTTGTGGCGTTGGCTGCCGAGCGGCAGCCTGGATTTTCGGGTTTTCCAAAACTCAAGTTACGAAACCGTGGTGGATGAGTCAGCGACAACATTTCGTAACATAACGGAAATTGTAACAGCCACAACTACGCGCGATCATCACGAGAAGTTACAAGCATGCTTGAAATGATTTGCGGCACAGATCCTACTGACTCTCACTGTCCTATCAAAGCGTCTGACTGCTGCAACATACCCAACAGTCTTACATCTGGGTGTGCCTTGCACATCTGGGCAGTACCCGCCAAGGAGCCCGTCCCCATCGGTTGTGTACGATCCCTTCTATGATCAAACCCCTTTGAATCATTGTTTACATTTCCATCATAAGCAACATGGAAAAACGGGCGGCGAGAGCAAAGAAACTGCAATGTAAAGGGGTCACAGCGGCTTCACTGAATTTGAAAAAGTATGTTGTTGTCAAGATGTCGCAGTAAATGCAATAAGTGAAGGTGTAACCGCGCAGGACAGTAAGTCAGGGGTAACCGCGCGAAGCAGTAAAATCGGTATATTCTGTTCTGTTCTTGTTCTGTGATTGTCTCTCACCCGGCAGTCATCAGGGTCTGTTTACATGACATATCTGTCGTGCAGCCAGAAAGTGCTGTTGGAACAGGCAAGAGCACTGCACTAGCACACGTGGCAGACATGACCTCTTCACTCCATAAACCGTCACACAAGAAGAGGCTTGCGGGATCCACTGAACGCAACTACAAGGATGCGGCAAAGCTCTGGGACGTGTAGGTCTATGATTCCAGTCCGATATGCCTACTAACATGTGCAGAATATTATTGCATTAACCACGGGTCTTTGCAACTGTGATTGGGAGATGGCAAAGATCCAAAGTGCAAACCCGTCCCGTTACACCGTGCGTCCCGGCACGCTTGGATAGACGTTAAGGATCAACGGCCCTAAAGCTGGCATCACGTCAGGGACACAAAGACACAGTCGAGCTGCTGCGGTCGCATCTTCACGGAGCTCAAGAACGAAACATAAATGTAACCTTTTGCATTTGTATCTATGCAATTGCGAAGATTAAAACCAACAAGACAATTAGGATAAGGCTGATGATATGTACAAACTTGGTCTCGTTGCAAATTTTCTCTGATTCGACATTAGCCACAATGACCATTAGGAACGTGATCAGACTCCAATCAGGCAGCGTATATATCTCCTACACCTACAGGCAGGGCTTGCGCCAGCGCTCGGCTAGCTTAGTTAATATTAAGTTAGTGGTTGTAACATCCATCCCTACATGCCGGGACACACGGTGTAGCGGGACGGGTTTGCACTTCGGACCTTCGCTATCTCTTATACGCAGGTTTATAGAGTTGTAGTTGAAGTATCAATATTCTTCAGCCAATTCCCCTTTAGGGAATTCACCTCCTGCAGAGATCAGTGCTATGTTGGCCATGTTGTCGATTGTTTTGTCAATGCCGTCAATCGACCCTACGTCAATTACCCCCTGTCCATTCGCGATCGCGAGGAACGCCGTTGAAATTGGTGGGCTTGATGCAAAGTAGGCTCACGGAAGATTTTGTCCCGAAGCTTTGAATGTAGTCCGGCAGTTTTGCCGGTCGGGAGCGAAGATCGCAAAATGCGATCCAGCGCGCTGGGATACTCTAGCGTGGCGCTCGGCGGCCGTGGCCCCTCTGTGGTTGTTTAGGTTCTTCAAGTTTAGTTCCCGCACTGCCCTGTCGCTGGCCTCTTCCTGCCGGTTGCACCTTCTGATTTAGGTGCTTACAGCCCTGCGGTTAATACGCGTCGGCTATTCTCTCCATGCCAGCGGCGGCAAGCTGCAGTATTCTTACGTTCGACTACCTGTGATGGCCGCTAGCCATAGCATGCTGGAACAATTGCAATGCGCCAATTTGTCCTTGCTGGAATTGTACTGTTGTTGCTAGTGGGCAGCACGGCCTCAGATGTGCACGAGATACAAAGTATCTAAAGACGAGTTATATACGGTTTCATTCGCTGCAGGAGGTTCACTTTCCGTATTGGCTGAAGGTACGTCTTCACACGCTATTGAAGAATCCCCTAAACCCTCCGGACAGCGTCCGTGGAGAAGTATAAGAGTCAAGGGCTGTCCTTCTCTTGTACTCACCTACAAGCCTCTTGAATGTATGCGCCTTGCCTTCTCCATATATTAGCGGCATGAATACACCCATAATTCCTAATAGACAATATGCAGTATCCTCCTCTTGTAGTGTAGAGCGCCCTGCTACCCAGCCCATTCGCTCCTCAACGCTGAACTCGGAAAGGGCTCGTTCTCGTAATGCCTCAGTCGGGACCTGGGTGATATTGTGGATTTCCTGCTCTAGCGATGTTCTGCTTCCTAGTGGCTTCCACTCCTTGGAGAAGAACTCAACCATTCTTGCAACGTCCAGCAACGCGTGAACCATCGGCTGTGTCGAAATGCCTCTTGCCATGTTATTTGGGCGGCGGCAGCAGCATTAGCGACCTTATCTGACACAGAAACGTCTGACAAGTACACATAGCACACAGATGCATGCTGATACCAGCGGAACCTTGGGTTAATGGCTGCATCGTTGGGGTTGTATGTTCTCTCCGAGCGATAAACGTTGGCCCAGTTCAATCGGTCACGATGCAAGCGTATGACGGCAGATAGTCAGGATGCGCAAAGCAAAAGTGAATGTTTGCTGCCCAGGGCAGCTGTCGTACATCGACACGGAACGGGCCGAGCAGGCTGCAAGCTGGCGCTCGCTGGACGCTTGGGGCTGTGTAGCTGGCCGCCAGCTCCATGTGCGGGACTCAGCCTGCATCATCTTGCCTACATCAGCCCATGCGACGCAGCGCACGCAGCACAGCCCAGCGATGGCCGCTCACCACCTGCTCACGATGTCATCAACCCTCCGCCGGCCTGCTCGCGCCCTCCAGGCTGTAGACGCTGGGAGGCACTACGCTTAACGATGTTCCTTTGAACCAACATGGCCGCCACGAAGAAGGGCCCTGTTCTCCGCGTCACCGGCCTCGCAGCCTCGCAGCCTGACGAGGAGCTGGCGGCATCGCTGAAGGCAGCCATCAGCGACAACCTAACAAACGAAGAAAAGTCGAAGATAGCTGTTGGGGTGGTTGTTGTGCCCTCCTGCTACGACGACGAGGAAAAAGTTGCGCTGGTGGAGTGCCGTGACAGGGTGCCTGCGTTCCTGTCAGCGCTGACAGCCGACCCGCTGGGAGAATGGCAGGTGGAGATGGGCGACACGGACATCAGCTTCGACCAGCACTTCTTCGGCTTCACCCAGCTGTACACGCCAGCGTCTGACGCACCAGTTGTTGCAGAGTATGCACCATGTAGTTCTCTTTTTGTCTAGAACGCCCGCTCTTACTGTTTGTCGTTGCTGTCTAACTGCTGACTTTATGCGCGCAGTGTAATCGCCATCACCGGCCTCGACGGCCACGCGTACGGCTCATGGCGGGGCAAAGGCAACCTTGGGCGCATGTGGCTGCGCGACTTCCTGTCCAAGGACCTGCCGTGCTGTCGCGCGATGATCTATGGCTACAACTCGAGGCTGTCGAGCCACGGGGTGGACACCATTATGGACTACGGCCGGGGCCTGCTAGAGGAGCTCAAGAAGATCCGGAGCACAGAGGAAGTGAGTAGAGATGGGGACTGCTGTTGTGAGAGTTGTGAGGATTGTGAGAGTGCGCAAGCGCAAGGCTGACAGATGCAATGCGCTAGGAACGACAGCGGCCGCTCTTCTTCATTGCGCATAGCTTTGGCGGTATCATACTCGCCCATGTAGGTCGTATAACCCAAGAACCTGCGTGCACACGGCTAAGCAGCTGCGTAGTGTCTTGTTAAGGCGGTCCAGACGACGGAAGATGACCACCCGACGATAGCTTCTCTGCACAAGGCCACGTACGGCATGCTTCTGTTTGGGATCCCGCACAGGGGGCTCATCGTGGACGACATCCAGAAAATGCTTGCTGGGGAGGACGGTCACCCGCGCAGAGAGCTGCTGAAGCAGGTCAAGATAAAGTCCGACCTGCTAGCATCGCAGCTAGACGACTTCAGGAACCTCGTCCGAGACCGCAAGGTGGTGAGCTTCTACGAGACAAGGCAGACGCGGCAGCTGCAGTTTGTAAGATGCTGCGCCTTGACCAAGACGCGAGAACATCGCTAATGCGTCCATGACAGGATAGTGAGAGCAAGCGATGGACGAGGACTGGCGACTTTATCACGGCGGTAGACAGTGACTCGGCGCTTCTCAAGCTTCCAGACAACATGGAAGACAAGATCCCCCTAGACACCGACCACTCGATGATGGTCAAGTTCGACAACAAGAACGCTCGAGGGTATAGCAGCGCGCGGGACAAGCTTAGGCAGTTTGCGCAGGATGCTCCGGGTGTGGTGGCAGATCGCTTCGGTACGTAGCTGTGACACTCCAAATCAGTCTGAGCAAGGAGCTATGTCTGCATAGCTCCTATTTTGCTTGATCGTAGCTAATGATGCTGGTCCCTAGCGCGAGCGCAGAACAGGCCCAAACCGTCGATTATGATGCCCTTCCAGAGAGATGGTGCATTCGTGGGCCGGCAAGACATCCTTGCAAAGATTGATGAGATGCATAGACGTACAGCCTCAAAGGATCACAGCCGGGTAGCGCTTGTTGGTCTGGGAGGGGTAGGGTAAGCATTTTCATGCACAAGCAGTCACGGATATCTGCTTATGCTGTTCCTAGAAAATCACAGATTGCCATCGAGTACGCGTACAGAGCCAGAGAGTCTGCGCCGCACATGTGGGTGTTCTGGGTGCACGCGAGCAACGCCGTCAGGTTCAAGCAAGCCTACCGAGAGATCGCAGCCCAGGTCGAGCTTCCAGGTCGCGACGATCCAAAAACGGATATCCTCCGCTTGGTGTGCAACTGGCTCTGCGACGAGAGGAACGGGCGATGGCTGATGATTGTTGACAACGCTGACGACGATCGAGTGTTCGCGTCTGCGAGCGCCAGCGCCAGCGCCAGCGATGACTCGGGTAGCGCTGCACATGAGGCTGATCCCGCTCGGGAAGCGGCGGTGCCGTTGGCGAGCTTCCTTCCGCAAGCGCCGAGCGGCTGGATACTGGTCACCTCGCGGGATCTGATCGCCGCCGTGAACCTAGTGGGAGCAAGGCACAACGTGGTTCAGGTGGAGGCGATGGGCGAGCGAGACGCACTGACGTTGTTAAAGTCGAAGACGCGGGTGGACAAGTCGTCTGAAGGCGACGCAAGAGCGCTTGTCAGGACGCTAGAAGGCATCCCGCTTGCTGTCACGCAGGCGGCTGCGTATATCGCTGTAAGAGAGCCAAGAATCACCTGCTCCACGTACCTGGAGCTGTTCCACGAGAGCGTGGAGAACCAAGCGTTCCTCCTAAACAGACAAAAAGCAAGAGACATACGGCGGGATACTAGCGCGAACAGCGCAGTCATAGCTACCTGGCAAATCTCATTTGAGCAGATCCGAAAGACGAGGCCCGAGGCAGCGGACCTACTGTCGCTTATGACCATGTTCGACAGACAAGGCATTCCCGAGCACGTGCTGTACGAGGGCAAGACGAGGCTGCAATTTGAAGAAGCAGTAGCGCCTTTGACCAGCTTTTCTCTGGTCCAGACACAAGTTGGAAAGCAGTCAGGACAGCAACTCGGGTGGCAGCTGTTCGAGATGCACAGCCTAGTACAGTTGGCGACAAGAGAATGGGTGAAGTTGCATAGTCAAGTTGATGTGTGGCAGAAGGCGTCGCTGCGAATCATGGCTGCGGCTTTCCCGAACGGACAGCATGAAACGTGGGCGGCTTGTCGGACTCTGCTTCCACACTCAACAAAGGTGCTCAGCTACAGTATGGAGAAGGACGACGAGGCGAGTCTGCACCGAGCGACGATCGCGACCAACACGGCGTGGTACCTGATGCTGATGGGGCAGTATGCAGAGGCGGGGCGGATTGGGCGTAGTGCAGTGGCGACGAGAGAGAAGGCGCTTGGGCTCAAGCATCCCGATACGCTCACCAGCGTCAGCAAGCTTGGGTCGGTACTGGAGAGGCAGGGCAAGTACGAGGAGGCAGAAGCGATGCATCGACGAGCGCTGGAA